GTGCACCTGTTTATAGTCATACAATTTCTGAAAATTGAACTGTATCAACTGGTGATCCCAGAACAAGAACTATTGAGGAATATAACAAGTTAGCCTGCCTTCAATAGATGATCTGCCGTGTTGGTTGTTAAGCTGTGATATGAAAACTGCTGTTTGTAAAGGGTACACTTGATTTTTTGGCCTTCCGTTTGAACAAAATGCAGCTAAACCTACGATTTCTTTGACATGGTGTCATTTAAGTTGGAGCTGAATCTGAGGAAGCGTTCAGACAAACATAGGAAAAATAAGTTAGACCTTGCAGTGTCCATTTGTTAGAACCAGTTCAAGTTGTGAAAACGTAGGGCTGTACACAGGTAGTCTGTTCCTCCTTCTGCCAAAAGCAATAAATTAATCCTGGAAAACCGCTCTATTCTCCTTTTGAAACTAACACCAGTGATTGTCCGACTAATGAGAATTTGGTCTGATGACAGCTTATTGACCAACCAGTTAACCAGTCAAATTGTGAACAACCCTGCTTGTTATGTTTCTGTAAGAGAATTTCTCGACATAAAAACTGTGTAACTTTGTTTTTGACTTGTGCTTGAAGTCAACATTAATTGTTTCATTGTTTAATTAAACACCTTTCTTTGATCTTAAATAGATGTTTTGCATTGCCTTTACATGCCCATAAGACCGTTTACTTAAAGACTCCTTGCTTTAGGTGCTAGGAGTGTGCAGATAATAATAATAATAATAATAATAAACTTTATTTATATAGCACTTTTTAAAACAGGGTTGCAAAGTGCTGTACAGATTCAAAGAGAAGTGTACGGAAAACAACATTAAACAACATTAAAGGAAGTGAAAAGCAAAAAATACATAAATAAATAAATAAAAAGTGGTGAAGGTGAAGCACATAAAGCATGAAAGACAATAAAACAATATAAAGATATATAAGAAAAATAAAACCCAGTAAAAGAAGACAATTAAAAGACAATAAAGGAAGGAATAAAACAGTTAGAAGATAAAATGTACTGCCCTTAATACTGCCATCAAATGGAGTAAAAGTCCACTCATAAAACAACTCCTGTAAAAGCACATCTGTAAAAATGTGTTTTTAAAAGAGTTTTAAAGGAGGATAAAGTGTTTACAAATCTGATCTCCTCAGGGAGACTGTTCCAAAGGGTGGAGGCTCTTACAGAAAAGGCCCGGTCACCTTTGGTCCTCGAATGTGGGACGGTGAGCAGAGACTTGGCTGATATGTGGGATGGAATGTCATTTACTTTGGAAAATTACGACTTTGTAAATTGCTTAACAAAAAATGAGTATCACAATGCTCAGGTACCTTTTTTTGTACAAATCTTTCAGTTGTGAGATTTCTAAGGTCTTGAAACAACTTTCCAGTTTAATTTTGCAAATGTATTAATATTCTATAAAGCAGGAATTAAAATGTTTCCTTCTACTTCATTTAGTCTTGTCGCAGTGCTGCAACACCAGAGTCTAAACATTTACATTTAACATAGATATAGTGCTACAAAACTTGTCATAACTTGTGCAACACAAGAATGTCTCACTTTTGCTAAAAATAGTTGACAGTTCCAGCTGGGCCACACAGTAGACGTGCCTCGTCATGTGGATTATCATAAATAGGCCATTATTAAGCATTATGTTTCCCGTGAAGTGTATTAACCAGTGCATGAGAAAGGGTTTACTTAGTAAAACAACAACGTCTTCTCAACCTTTTGGAAAAACATCACACTGTGGAAGGCACCAGACATAACACTGCAATGTGCGTCTGTTGTGAATATATATAATGCATTTTGAATACACCTAATGTGTGACTGATTCAGACCATTAAGCTCTGACTTTAAAGTGAGTTATTATGCACAAGGATATCCCTTTAAGAAACCCTTTAAGTTCTGTCAGAAAAGCCGCTGCATCACATATGTTCAGTTCATTGCCAGCTGTGAGAGAAGTGTTTGTATTACTAACAGTAAGTTCCACTCTGCTTCTGCTTTGCTTCACACTTCTTCCTCTCTGCTGCACAGAACAGTTTCACAAAGGAAGACAACGCAACACACTCAAACACCCTGAACATGTAGAATGTTACAGTCCTGTGCATGTACTGAAACACACGGTAGGAAAAGCAGAGAAAACGAGTGATACGAGACGTGGTGTTAAACTGCCAAATGATGATTGGAAAACGTATGAAGGTATGTTACCAGTACACTAGACACGGCATTGTAACTCCTCGCTGCTAAATAGTGCTACCTGAATGACGTGCCTTTAGGCTTTAGCCATCTCGCTCACTAACTAGTCTGATGAGCTCCTGTATGGTTACATCAGCCTGTAATAAATCTGACTGACAGAAAAACAGTCTGGTTTTGCTGTCATTTTTTGGAAAACAACTACTGTTTGCCACTTACTCTTTAGGTTAACCCTGTGATACTAACTTTAGCATAAACCGGTTTACCCTTTTGTCCCAAGAAAGAGGTGGAGAGCAAACAAGTGCATTAAGTCATGCACTATCTCGACGTACAGCTTTGAGGTATTTACAAACAGATATGTCCATTGCGTGCTACTTCATACTTCTCCACTCGTCTTTAGAGATAGTTAGCATCTTTATTACTTCCCTATATTTATTTGACAGCTGTAGTTGCAAGTTACTTTTGTGATTAAGATGTGACATTAAAGACAATAATAAATCTTAAACCCGTGGTCTCCAACTTTTTAGATATGAGCTTTACAAAAAGCAGTGGGAAGTCATCATATATAAAGTTGTCAGAAGATCCACCAAATAAAGATTTCCACTCTAATCTTCTCACATGGTTTCAAATAACTGTGCAGTATCTAAAGAGATGATAAGACCAAATGTTTGTCAGTGTTTATCAGACCTTTTTCTCTTTCCTCTCTCATGAATCATCTGGTGACCTTTCAGATTTATTATGTTAGATGTCCAGGCACCAAGTTGGAAACCACGAGACAAAGTTAACTGTATTTGTAGTAGTTTAAACTAACTCCACCTTGACAGGCTGCATTGCTAAAATGCACTTGCATACATTGATGTGTATAAAGTGGCCAATATTGTTTTTTTGGGATGATGATATGACTGATACAAATGATTAGTAGACATTATTGCTTATTTGTAATCAGGTGGAACAAATGGAATGGATTTTGCATGCAGGTCTGTTGCTTGTAATGGAGTGTTTTTACATTGTTGTACCACTTGAGATGAGGCTCTATGGTTCCTTTGCATTTTTGCTGTTTCATGTCATCCCTATGCGTTAACTCTGGTGCTAAAACAGTTAGTTAGCTAAAAATGCCAGAGAAAGTTTCAATTTCTCAGTTGTGAGGACTTGTTGATTATTTCTCTCTCTTTTTTTTTTTTTAATTAGTGTGAACGGACTATTTTTAATGGTTTTAGACAGTAGTAACATTTTCTCTTTTAATGATGCGTTTAATGTTGCTAATTAACAAATGTTAACATCTTAATTTATAATTAAACTGAGGTGATTAGCATTTTGTACATAGTACCTCGTAAACATCAGCATGCTTATATTGTTACTGTGGCGGTAGAACGTTTTCCTCACTTTGTTCCAACAAATTGAAATGACCTGTCCTTAAAACAGCACATGCACTAACTGTACTGACTGAATAGCTGTAGAAGCATCTATTGATTTTATGTGCGTTGGTGTAAGTGAAGTCATAACATCTTGTTTAAGCATGCAAGTAAATTTTTGCGCAAGTTAAAACTTCTCCGTCATTCAACAGCAGTCACTACACCCCTCAATACTCTACAATTACTTCCAAGTTGAACATTAATTTATTTGCTCTTATGTAGCTTGAAATCTAACAGTGTAGATGCACTACATTAAAAATGCTGACCCTACATTAGGTACTCAAGGCAAAAAAAAATACAAAATTCAAATCCACTTCATATTTTCACCATTATTTTTGGTGACAGACTCATTCCTCCTCAGCATACCAGTATTGCACACATTTCTGGAGAGAAGTTCTGGCAATCTTTTTCCTGTGTTTTTTTCCATAGGAGTTACCTACCTTTCTACCTTTCTCTTTAAAGTACCTCAAAAATGTTCGGTTCAAGTCAGGCCACATACTTGTCCAGGTCACAGTTTTCCATGATTTTTTTTTCTTCAGAAACTCTTGTGTGATTTTGGCAGTGTGCTTTGGATCGTGATCATGCTGGAATATTCCTCTTCTGCCAAGCTTCCACAGACAGGAAGCTGTCTTGTCAGCCAGTATTTGTCACAGGTGTTTATGTTGGTATCTATAAATGTCATCCAAAACAAAGCCAAAACCTTTTGTACTCACCTCTATGCTTTACTGGCAGGAGTGTGCATTCACATGGGATTATTTTCTACATCGCTGTCCTTCACACTTTCTGAGCTGCAACAGAGAGACAGATTTTCATTGTGCAAAGTCGAAAGCAATTACCTGCCTATTTTTTAGCTCAATTGTAAACACTGCACTCTTTTGTTTGGACAGTGACTGGGGCCCTGATTAGTGGTACTATGACTCTCTATGTATGTATGCTTGAGTGAATGTAGCATCAGCTTCATATGTAGTTGAGCATCAGTATCTCATCATTGTGTCAGATTAACCCTGAAAATACTCTAAATGCGCCGTCATATCTACTTGCAAACCTTGTATTTTACTATTGCTGACCTGTAAGATAAGCAGTTAGATACACACACACACACATGGACGCGCACACACAAATCCGCACACACAGAAGCAGCTGAGACGACAGCAACTGCTGAAGCATGTGTGGTTGAACACTATGACTGCTGATTGGACTGTGGCAGTAGTGGGGGGAGTTCATGGCAGATCTCTGCAACAGGCCGGAGAGCTGAGGCTCCTATTTTTAGCCCCCTTAACACCCTCATATCACAACAGCTGTCCCCACATCTCTTGTCTGTCCACCATCAGGAATAGCCGGCCTATCACAGCGCTCCCTCTCTCCTGAGCCACGCTGTTTCACTCTGTGAGTCTCTCTCGCCACTCGTTCAGACCTCCTACATGTCTGCCGGCTTTTGTTTGAATCTGTGACTTCTGGGGTTCTACTGGGATACAAGAATTTTGGAACTGCTTCACTTACAGGTAGAACAATTTGAAATAACCGTGAAACGAAAAGTGGGGGAGTGGAAAATGTATGGCAAGCATTTGGCCTCCAGGCTCCACAGCCGGTGGAACTATTTTTAGGCTAGAGTTGGCTAAGGGGGGCAGTTTGTGTGGTTTTCAAACTGAAACTGGTATTTTACAATAGTACATTTTTTCTTTTTGACAGTTCCCCTTTTTCTACCCCGATGTTAACCACTAACAATGGTAGAACTTAAAAGTAGAGGTGTGCCAGAATGTGGTCGGCTGCTTTGAAGAGGTGGTCTACATGTTAGTGTCATGGATACAGTGAGAACTCAACTGCTGATGGGAAATGTAGGATTAATATTAGGATTTAACCTGTGTGCACTTTTATGAGTCAGTGGTTTTCAGATGTATATTGAACCTGATTAATTTAGATACTCTGACCAGGTTTTCATTACATCAATGTTTGGTGTTTTGTTTTATTCACATCAATTGCATTTTAACTGATTCTATATACTGCTGTGTAAGAGCGGGGCAATAAGTCAGTATTAAGTCAGACTTAAGGTTGAATTGTATCCTAATGTCACAGTTTTGGTTGTTGAAATGTGTCACTTTGAGTTGAAGATTTAGTTGGAATGGAAGCTGTAAAACAGTGAAACACCTTTATTCATTTGAAAATTAGTTTATTCCATTTTGTTGAAGTTTTTGGCACATGTTGACATCCACTGATGGCTGGAAATATCTGAATCACTGTAAGGATAATTTCAGCTACTTTCTATTTTTGCTCAGACAAACTAAATTGTGGCATGACTTGTTGTGACTGGACTGTCTAAGAAGCTGTGTGTCGGTATGTGTAATACCTCAGCAGACCCAAGTGCAGTCTCCATTAGCCCCAAACACGTTGTGTGTCAAAATGATCACAAGAGCTTTGGGTGTTAAGTCATGCAAACGAAGAAAGTGATCCATGAAAGGAAAAAAACAATTAAAACTATTCTTTTTGGCTGCACCTACTGTTACTGTTCTGTCTTTGCTTAGGTCTGTTAAGGTTAAACACATTTCTGATCGGATCAGGTCATTTGGCCTAGGTACAACTGTCCTCCGAAACATTTTAAATGAATTATTTTAAGCATGTAGGTTTGAGTTTTCCTGGGGTCTGTTTTAGATCAGATGATTAATTCTCAACTCCTTTTCTAATGAGACCTCTATTAGGAATCAAACAGTTATTGGCCTGACATGTTTTTGAGGCTGATAATTGACATTTTTCCAATCGACTATCATTTTTTTTAATGACCAGTTATCGTTAAATATATTAAGTGTGCTCCTTTGGCTCTGATGCAGCCAGCTCTCTCTCTCTGTGGTCTCAAGCAATGTCCCACCCACAGCTCTATCTGATTGGCTGTCACATGTCATGAGTAACAGCCAATTACTAAAAGCCAATGAAAGCTGTTTGTTACACAGAGAGACAGAGAGCACATTTTCAGAACAGAGCAGCTCTGGTGAATTAGCGGAGCAGCGTTTGGACTGTTCGGTAGCAGACACTGCTGAAGGTGTAATAAACACCACAGTCTTCCGAAGGCATTCCTAGTGTGCCTGTTATACAGAAAAGACTCCAAAAGTTCATTTGTATTAGCAAATAGTGCAGCTGGAACTCATTTTGACGAAGGTACTAGGCTAACGCTATCGCTAAGAGGTTTGCTGTGGCACAGTCAGGATTCCACATAATGTCATGGAATCAGCATTGGCACCGGTGTTACAAGCATTTTTGTGACTGCCTGGAGGTGCACCTTTGTGTTGGAATCTGTGATGAATTCATGCCCGACCTTTGCATCCATGGTTACACCCTATAGGCCAAACAGCAGTCTTTTCCTGTCAAAGAGTCTGCACTCTCTAAGACTGAAGAAGGCATCTCAGGTCAGGAGTGCACTAGGAGCATACGAGTCATTTTCGTCATGACAATGAACCTGCATGTTGAAAATGTTTAAGTTCTTTCGCCGCACCAACGCAATTGTGACTGCTTCCTCTTTTCAAAAATGAAGGGTTGCTATTTTGACACACTGAAGGAGATCTATGGCATGTGATGGATGTATGGTGCTCAATGCACTTGCTGAATGTGATTTTTGGGGAGCATTCCAAGTGTGGCAGGAGCGCTAGGAGCAGAGTACATTACACCACAAGGTGGTTAGCTCAAAGGGGATGGTAGCCAAATTTAATCAAATATGGTTATGCAGCGGCTAGCGCAGCTAGACAGTCCTAAGTTTGAATCTTGGCCTGGGGTCTTTCCGTGTGCAGATTGCATGTTCTCCCAGTGCCTGTGTGGGTTCTTACAGGGTGCTCCGGCTTCCTCCCACAGTCTACAGACATGGCGACGTGTCCAGGATGTACCCTGCCTTCGCCCTAAGTCAGCTGGGATAGGCTTCAGCAACCCCCTGACATGAGTCTCTCTTTTTTTTTTTTACCTGCAAAAACGCCTTTGCAAACCTTCCTGAGACACACTTGTGGATGTGGTTTTGTGCATTTGTAAATCTTGACCTAGCTGCATGTATGCTATTGTTGGCTTGCTCCTCTTTGTGAGATGTTAATATTATTGAGTCAGGTCTCTGTTACACCAATGTCCTCCCATCACACAGTAACAACCCAAATGAGTGACTGTGTAATGCTGTCACTGCTGTACCAGTCTGCAGTGTCATGTTCCTATTTTTAAGTTTGGCAGCATATGGACTTTAATTTGAGATATGCATTAGTCTTTACATGGTATTTGCAAATTCAAACAAGTTACTTACATTTTTTTTTTAATTTCAGTGAAACAAAAAAGAGAAAACAAACAAATTACTACCTTGAAAGAGTCGTGTTAATGTTGACAATATTACAATATGAATTTTTACTGTGTTTGGTGTGATAGTTGGTATGAAATTGTGTCATGCTCTATTTTGTCAAACCATAGAGTTTCGTATTCGAAAAATAAGTTTTGCTTGATTTTCTCAGATAGAGTAGCCTCACTCACAGCTCTACTGTTTAATCCAAAAATAAGCCTGTTAGTCACTTTACTAATTTAGCAACCACTGATAAGAACCACTAATCCTGAGCTAGACCCGAACACTGCTCCGTACACAGTAAAAGTTGTTCTGGAGGCTCCTTCCAGTTGTTGGTGCTCATCTTGTTAAACCAAAGACTTCAAAACAACTCCAAGTGAGATTTTTGGAAATTCGCTTTGTTTTTACAAAATTAAGAAATTTCCTTTTAATAATACACTTTTACAACATATCAGAGCTGCTGTCAAACAGTGAAATGACTAAAACTGACATTAAATGTTTTGTGTTTAATTTTCATTTGCCAATTCAAAGGCAAAAACTGGACGGCACCGATCTAGAAATGGCTCTATCACATATACATACTGTATATTCACTTGAAAGCAAATGGCAGTGATTTTTTTTTTTTTTTTTGAAGTTGAAGCTGAAACTCTCACCTGCCTCAGAGTTCAAAGAAGGCTTTAAGCTTGTAGTTTGCTTAGCTTGGACCTGTTTGTGTTGGTTAATAAAACAGTGTGGCTGAGTAGACGTTTGAAGCAAGTTTGCCATGATCTACTCATGGAGATAAAGAGAAATGAATGAAAAGTTACTGATGTGTCTGGGTAGACAGACAGACAGACAAAGTACTTAACATTATGAACATGCAGTTGTCACTAAGCAGTTTAAAATAAGCCTTTCCAGTATTTTTAGAGGATGAGGTTGGTCTGCAGCCCTGGCCACAAGTATGCGTCACCCTCACATTTAGCATTTTGTTTTTGTAAAAATAAAAAAAAAATACCAGGGTCAAGACCAGCTCACTACTTTGCTTATATGTTTGCTATCAAGATGATTATCTTTGATTTGTTTTTAGAAGGCTTTTGTCTTTTTTGCAGGTGGTGTACTTTTGCAATTTGTGTTTTCATTTCTCTAAACCTGCTTCAGTTCCATTCTCTACTGTTGAAAATTGAATTGAATATTCAATGTTTCATGTTACTTGAAGATCCTTGTTTCTGTTCATCTATCCATGTGTAATCTCACCACATTTCCTCTCCTAGCTCCCCTCCACATCCTCCTCCTTTTGCTGTCATCCCATCCATCACAGCCTATGACAGCAGATCAGCCAACATGGCATTCTCATCTCGCTTTTCCTTCTGGGAGCAAAAGGGAAGTCTCATTTGGACATTTCATACAGCACTCTTAGAATGCATGGTGTTGCATTGTGTGTGAATGTGTGTGCTTCCTTAGTGTGCTTGTGACACTAAGAATATTAATGGCTTTCACTCAGTGTTACAGTATGGTAGCTACCCATTTGCTCTGACTTTGTATCACCGTTGCCATTTGCTTGACACTTGAACAGAGCGCTTCCAATGCAGTGGGTGCATCAGGGTTTACTTCACAAAACAGTAGGACAGTGTTTGTATCTCAAGATGGAGATGTTGCACTGGAGAACTTACTTTTACACAGAGATCTCCAGGAGTTTTTGCATGTTTTAAAGCTTGCATGGTGTGTAATGGACAGCAGCTTTATGTGTTGTCAAGGTTTTGATTTGGCTTCCTGTTTTATATTAACACATTTAGATCAAAGACGAGAACAAGCCAGGAGCAAGTGTAAGTAAATGCTGTCCTTTATAGTGGGATACATAGTTACTGGTCAACGGAGTCATGTTAGAGCTGTCTTACTAGCAATCAGGTCTTGTTGTTTGTGAATAACAAGACTGATCGGCCATTTTTTTTTTTGCATATTGTGTGTGTAGTTTTAGATAGAACTTAACACATTGGAAGTTAGTATTGCACACATTTGTGGCTGCAACTAATATTTATTGTTATAACCAATGTATGAGGATAATTTATAGTAATATTTATTATAAAATGCGAGAAAACCCATCATCCAAAGATAATTTAATAAACTGTGACCAAAAATAAGATCATATCTCAGAAAATGTTGGTATTTTTGCTTGTAAAATGCCACAAGCGCTTATTTAGTTACCAGAATCGTTCATGATTAATTTTCTGCAGATTAACTAATTGATTGATAACTAATTTTTGCAGTTATACACTCAACATTTTTTTCGATCACACTTGACAAAATCTTGGGCCAGTTGCTCATATTATAAACCTCTCACTTTTTAGTGCGAGTGTTTTGAGAAAAAAAAATGTATACTTGCAAATTTATGATAACCTCACACAGCTTGATGAATGGCACCTCTGTGTGAGTAGGGTCATTTTCATTAGATTTATTATCAGCTGAATGGAAGCCCTTAAGTACTATAAATTTCTGCTTTTTCTGTTTCATTCACTAAAATTTTACCTAAGAGTGAGATGAGTTCTTTAGAATATTTGAAGTTTGCAAATGAAGCAGTGGCAGCACTGGTATTAGAAAAATGTGCCACTGTACAAGTTCTCTTAAGTATGTCACTTAAGAGCAGAGCAGGTGATCTTGCAGTAATCCTGTTGACTTGAGGGTAAATTAAAATCATCCAGTAATATACTAAAGTTTGTTAATTAACACAGTTCGTTGTCTAATATTGCATTAAGGGTAAAGGCTTGTCTGTTTGGGTTAGGAATGGTGTTATGCTGATATGTCTTAAGCGTCTGCCTCATTTTTTGACATAATGTGTGCAGACCCGCTGAGTTCAGTGTAACATTTCAACATTATGATTGTTGTTAGTCTAAAGACAAGATACTTGGATTTTCAGTCATTATTTCCGTCCTTATAACTTCTATTTTTCCTCTCTGCGAGTAGTCAGACAGTGATGGACTTTCCAGTCGGGCCAAATCAGTACCAGCTCTTGATCCTGGCAGGGGGTTATTCCGGGCAAAAAGTCCTCCATCAGTTTCCCCTGCAGAGTCAGCAGCCCGGGTCAGGAGTCCTTCCCCACCACAAGTCAGGGCACCTGTTAAAGTGCCAGAGCGTTTCAGAAGTCCTGAGCCACTGTCCAAGACGACAGCACAATTTAGGAGTCCTGAACCTCCACAAGCTCCTTTGAGTCCAAAGCCAGTTCTTAACAGTAAGCAAGAACAAAATGGCACAGTAGCTAAAAATATGGTCAATGGTACAGCGAATGGTGAAAGTAACCATCCAGGCACCAGCACTAACCAGATGGAAAGTACAGATGACCAGGGTCTGACACGTAAGAAGGTAGTCAAGGTGGTTCGTCGTGTTGTCAGGAAGGTCCTACCCACTGAAGAGGAAGAGACCACTGTACCAACACAAAACTCAGACAAAGCTGCAGAAACAGCCAAAATTTCTGCCGAAGCTGGTAAAGGAGTACCAGTGCCAGCCCTACCTTCAGTGTCTAAGGCCCACATGATGTCAGGATTCTCTTTTAAACATGATGTCATCAAAACAGAAGACAGTGATGACATTTCACGAGGACTGACAAACTTTCTGATTCGAGGCAGACCAAGGGAGCCTCGTCCACGAATACGCAAAGAAGAACGGCCAGAAAAACTAGAGTTGGAGAAGACAAATGAGAAGAAAGAGAAAATTGTTCAGCCAGAGGAGACAAAAGAAGAGCAGAAAGACGAGAAAACCACCCCAAAGTCCCAGGATGTTAATCACAAACCTGCAAGCTCTGCTCCAGTTATAAAGGAAGCCCCCTCTCCTGTGGTTGCTGTAAACACAGCGAGCACAGCTTCTGTGGGTTCAGCTCCAACTTCTTCTAAATCACCTCATTCCAGACCTTTATCTCTCCCACCAGTTGTGGGCTTTATCCCAGCTCCCAAACCCACACCATTGGCTCCACCTTCTGGCTTCATACCTGCACGCAATACAACTGCTGCTGCAAAACCCACCACTGCCAACCCTCCTTCTAAAAGCCCAGCGGCCCCCAAACCTTCCTCTCTTTCTTCTCCATCACGTTTCATCCCAACCACTAAACCATCTCCAATTGAAACTCCTGTGAACCCCGATCCTCCCCGTCTCAATCCTGGTCCACAGTCTGTCCATTCAGGAGTCAGTCCCATTCAACAGCCTGCTGTCAGTCAACAAGAGGTACAGTGTCCACACTCTGCATGTCAGGTCAACGTTTTGGACTTGGTGTGGAAAATGCTTGGCCACTTGAAATGCATGTTTGAAATAAAAGAGCACCCGGGTGTGGTTCGCTAACAGGCACCACTTATTTGCGTAACCCCATCTGTGCACAGTTTTTGAGTCACTTGATGGCCATTGTAAGATGGCTGTGAAAGATAAAAATGAGTAGAATATATTGCAACATTTTTAAGAATAATGAAGGAAAAGTTAACTAAGTATACCTTTTCCTTTTTAACTAACAGTGACAGGGCCAAACGATGGCAAGGTCAGTTGGTTTATTGGTTAGTTGGTTTACATTTGTTCCAGAGTCTACACTTTAGTCAAGGAAAGGAAATGATGTCCTCAGTGACGACTGTTGAGTGTTGAAAATTCATATTCATTGGCCAGCAAGAAGTAGCGCTGTGCACCAACCTGGTCAGCGAATAGTTAATAATAGTAAGGAAACATATAGACTCAGGTCAGGCTCAGGTCTCATATTTTGCAGCTAGCCATTTTGGATGCTAAATTGAGCTTTAAAGGAAGCATAACGGACAGTGAAGCAAGCTGATTCTGATGATGCTTGTTGTTTTAGTCAATAAAAGAAATCCATTATCGACACTACAAAAATTTGTCTTTAGCATTTGTGAATTGATTCAATCATAGAAGATAAGGAGTGTTATTCTAACTATTTTTTTTCTTAGTATAAATATCTTTTGTCCCCGATCAGGTCACAGTTTCTTCTTGGCCAACACTCTTCAACAAGGCATCTTGTAAAGTAGTGGTTTAAATGCCATGAACTGTTTTGGTTTATTGGGATAAACACTTTATAATGACCCTATTGGCTTTTCTGGTATTACGACTTTTGGGACAGCTACACAAATAAACAAAAAATATCTATTATATGCTGTTTCTGATACATTCTTCCAGTGTATCTTCTTTTATGTTTGGGCACTGGACAAGTCTTCTATCATGAACTGATTATGATTATTTATTAAAATTGCTACTGGGCACGCCTACATTAGTCGTGGAAAAGGAAGTAAGGTTAATTTCTGACCACACTTTCTCATTCTGGTGACCTGTTTGTCACCCTTAAGTTTTCATTCCCCCCCAAACTTTTGGTTTTGGTCTCCAAATAGAACAGTGTCGATTGTTAGAGACTATGGAAGCTTCTGTGGTTTTGCAGATTTTAGGAACTTGCCATTGTTGAGATTTTTCAGCCTGAAAGCCTTTTTGTGGCCGAGGCTACTGTCAAAACAAACAGGGATGACAGTTCCTAGCTTTTCCACCCTTGAGATCTCACATAGAAGAATGTAGCTCACAAGCTTTGTTTATCAAGGCAGAATCCAAGCAGAGACTTTGTGAAACGAGGGACTTCATATGCCCAGGAGAGCTATGTAGTGCCGAGTACTGCAGTGTTACTTTCTGGGAGAGGGACTCGAAGGAAAACTCATGAAAAGGCACGAATAGCACAAATCTCCAGGAACTGAACAGATGGAAGAATGGGACACCAAAAAGCTGTTTTTGCTGAGATTGTGTAACTAAGGCCTGGCTATTAGTTTACTTGAAAACACATGCTGTCACTGAGCACTACAGTAACTTTGAGAACCTGCATCTAGATTCTTAAAGGTTGCCACTGACTTATTTTTTGGTAGTTCTGAAAAACAAATGAAATGTATCGATTCTTACATTGCCTTTGTGTTGTTGGCATGATAATTAATGATAGTAGTTTTAAAAAAAAACCTTAAAACAGCTATGGTTGTAGTATATTGCTTTGACTCAGTGAAACGTATGCTGGCTCTCTTTTTTTCCACATGCTCGATTTGTTGTTGTTTTTGCAAATATTCTTCCCATAACCAGACAGTTGTGTTCCTGTGTGTGTGAATACATTGGTTTTGTAGTGTGCATGCTGTTTTGAAGCACCACTCTTTATTTCGCAGTAGTACTAACAGTCTTCAAATCTGATTCCACAGTAGTTGAATCTGCTATTGTGATGGTGATGATGCAGTGTGTGTGAGTGTGTGTGTGTGTGCTCGCAGTCTTCTATAAAGAACATAAGTCAGGACAGTTGTCATGGTCTGATTTTATTTTATTTTACCAGGCATAAATCACATGTCCATATGTTTAGTATCATTGTGTGTATGTGTGGTCATGAGCTTTGCTTCATCTCTATCAGCGGGCTTAGAGTCAATGTGTTGCTGCTTTGCCTTGTAGGAGGCATCGCTCAGTCCCACCGAGGAGGCTCAGCGACGCCTGATGAGGATCTTCGGTGCCCCTGTAAATCACCCTGCTGTGCTGTCCTGCATATCAAATCTTGAATTGTGTTTGTCTGTCCATGTCAGCTCTCACACTAACCCGTGAACCCTTGAGCATTTATAGAGACAAAATGAATAACACTGGCTTACTGCATGTCATCCTCCTTCTCATTGCCCTAACCTAAAATACCCACAAAAATGTCCAAATTAATTTATAAAAAAAATCAAAAATCCCATTTCCTAAAGATGCCCAGCTAGATCCTGATGATCCCTTCAGTGTTTCCAATCATCCATTAGCTAGCATCAGGGCAGCAGTGGGGTCTGGATTCTCTCCCAGCTGAGCTTGAACTGGGATGAGAGCCGTGGTACACACCGGGCAATTCTTCAGTCTGTCACAGAGCTAACACATAGAGGCAGACAGTGATGCATGCTCACACTCACACCTATGGCCAGTTTGGAAAGGGAAAAGCTTCTGGCTGTGGGGCTACCCCATTTCAGTGTGTGTCAGCTTTAGGACATGGGAGTCTCTGGAATATTTATTGCGGTGTTATAGCCATCCGTTTGCATTATTTCAACTTTGTTTCAGAGAATTTTATTTTTTTTGTTCCATCAGTTTGGAATGAAGTTAGTACCAACATTGCTATGGACAAAAATGAAAGGAGGGAAGGAAACATGTCAGAGGTGCAAATCAAGGCGGTATCAAATTCAGAACTATGTTGCTGAATCTAGCAGACACTAGACCTGACAGCACAACAGGTGCTGAATTTGTCCAAAATCAACTTTAGAAAGTGTCCGAAAGTGTTCATATTGAAACTATTCCATATATTTACAGGTTTCACAATAAGTTCCAGTGTTCATTTTAATGTTGCTAGAGCATGTATCTGAAAAGATATATTCTCTATGATGAAAGGTTTCCTGCAGAAATGCTCCTTGGGAGTTGACTTGCAAAAGAACCAGCCTTTGTGTTTTAAGCTCTAAGCCAGAGCTGCTGAATTATATTTGATTAGATAACGTAGTAAAATTCTGACTGGGGCACAAGCCATGCTTAAAGCATCACTTATTGTCATAAACTTGACAAACTGATCTTCATAGTCCTGCTGCTAAATAGCTTAGTACTTATCCTCTGGTGATGATTTATTCTTTTCACTTTACAGCACTCCACTCTGGCTCTGCTCTTTAGCTTTATAGCACATTCCATTTCAAGTAACACATTACTAATGTTTCCCCTACCAGTTAAACAATAACTATCTGTTTAAACTGATCTGCATTCTCAAAAACGCTGTCATTTTGTCACTGCATGGGAGTCATTTACACCCCATGGTTGCTCATTGTAAAGCCATTTTCACTTGTCCATTACTCTGTCAAGTGTCTGTTCTCTTTTTCTGTTGCTTTTGTGCAGTGCAGTTTCTTCATCCAAAGTTCCATGTTGACCTTGTCTCTTTTTTTCTCCTTGTTCTTTCCCTCATTCTCTTTCCTTCACTCCATGTCTTACTCACACTGCTTTTGCTGGCTGTCGTCTCTGTGGCTGTTTTGTGGCTAAGCTGGAGCCGGCAGTTAGTGTTTCATCTTCTGTCCAAGCCTCCGTCCCTGCAGCCCCACAGCCCCAGGGCTCCCTCCAGGTACCGCAGCCCTCCAGTCTTCCTCTGGGCCTCCTGGCTGGAATTTGTACTCGTGTGGCTTGTTGGAGTGTAAGGCCTGGAATCCTTCTAACTTTCCCCCTTTTCACCATTTTCTCCTTCTAAAGTTTCCAAAGTCTACATTAAGGTGCAGCTGCATTAAGCTGACAGGCTATAGGCATTAACCCAGTCAGTGCCCTGACTTGAATAGAATTGAGAAGATTTGTTGTTTTTGTCATAGCGTTGATTGAAACCTGAATTCTATTCTGAGCCACATTGTCAGAGTCCACTTAGGAGTTTTTTTTTTGTTATTGTCTTGTCTAGATACTTTTGAAGACAATTTTTCAAGCTGCAAAGGATGAACTTGAGAGGAAGCATTGGCTTTTTTATGAAATTATTTTTATGTATCTGTAGTTTTTTCTTTTGCAGAGACATGTCAACTAGCAGTTTTTCCCTTTGATTTCAGTCTTTGTGCTAAAATAGTCGCACAGAGGTGAAATTGGCCGTTCTTTACTTTGAGGGCTTTTTTTTTTTTTTACAGTAGCCTACTTTTTTGCCTCCTGATTTTTCTTTTTATGCATCATACTTTATTATGTTATGGCAGGTCTGTCCTGTTTTGTCATCATGAGCTGCAGTTTGTAACATGTGGCGTGATGTAAACGCTCCTTTTAATGAGACTGATAGAAGCTGTTTGCATGAGTGATGTATTTTTGTGCTGAAGGCATAGTGCATGCATGTATGGTGTTTACTCTCAACATAGCATCTGTGTGAGTGTTGTATGGCTTATTGATACATTTAGATGCTCCGAGCTCTGAGTCATGATAGACCTTGATGCTGATGCTTTTTTGTTGTCATGCAACCATTTTGTTTCATTGGCCCATAAACATTTCACCTGCTCTAACAATTTAATCTGCTGTATTAAGTTTTTGATGCTGATGGATAAATTATTTTGAAAAGCATCACACTGTCAGCATGTACAGATGTTCTGTTTTCCTGTTCTCCTGTGTTCCAGGACACAGCCTAGGCTTCTATGGTCAGTATTAAGGACAGTGGCGACAAATGTCATTTATGTTATTCATCAGTGTTATCTAAGCGACTGATTTAAAAAACCATACTGTTTGTTAAAACTCTTGCTGTTGGGTGTCTATACCCAATCTGCATCTGTTCAAGAAATAATAATTAAATAATTATGGCCTTTCTGTTCTATCGAAGGCCTACTGAGCATTCACTTCAAATACTGCTGTGTGGATGCTGTGTGGATAGAAACCCTTCTGCACAAAAACATTCTGATTGTCATGAACTAGACATTGTATACAAGGTGCTGATCTCCCTGCTAAGACTTCTCAGAATATCTTTGAGACAGAGACTTATTGGTTTAAATGAGGAACAATCTGTAGAAGGTTTGCCTTGTTTCAAAATCAGCATTATCATTTTCAGCCTTGAACAGGGTAAAAGAGTCCCGTTCTGATAAAATCTTGCATACAAATGCAAGCATGGAACAAGTATTTTAAAAAATGGTCGGCCGTTATGCCCTGGCACTTTACCATTGTTAATATTTTGGAAAGCCTATCAGACATCTTCAGTTGTTAAACAACTATCTAACTCCCTTTTCTTTCCATGTTCTGTTAGTGTCTGGAATTGAATTAAATATTTACACTTCCTCTGAGGCTCGGAGGCATTTTGATCTACATAAATATTCTTAAAATTCTCTAAGACTGTTATTAATGTTTAATGGTATGTACTGTTAGGCTCCTGAAGAAGTCATTAAACTATTACATACATTTACCATGCCAGGCGTTCTTTTGTTTTTGATCGTAATAAGATGACTTCAGACACATTAAACTATTTGTAGTTTTATCAGCAGATAATTACTTCTCTGTGGCTATCACAAGAAACACAGAAGCATGTGTTCTTGGCTCATCCCTTTTATTTAGATCTATCTCTAAAGATTTATTTAATTTTTCCTACGTTTCTACCTTTATTTGTTGTTGTTTGACCTTTGAGCTTGTATTGCCTATGATTTCTCCTCTTATGTATGCTTAGGATGCCTTCTGACTTGTGTTGGTGCCAGTTTGATCTGTATCTAACTCAAAATAACTAAATGTTATAGTTTACATAAATTTAACCAAGTCTGGGCTCTTTAACTGTTGTGATGAATTCAATTTTTCAGGGGACTGTGAAAAAAAACTTGTTAGTATGAAAGAACTAACAGCATGGTTGCTTACTGCTATGCTATCACCAACCAGCTTTGAATCTCTGAGAAGAGCTCACTTGGGAACAGCATGAAAACAAAATTTACTTTTTTTCCAAGATTTCTGCTTGTTCTACACTTCAACCAACTTCATATCCCCAGTTTATTGTCTAACAGTTTTGTATGTGCCTTATTGGTAACACAACCTGTAGTGCCATCTGTTCCTGGAATTACGGCACAATTGAAATCTCCTCCAATTATGTAAATGCTCATAAAGTGGACACAGTACTAGTACCTTAAGCTATATCTCAGATTGTTGTAATAGTTTGAAGTGGCATCATTCTGTGAATAAGTACACCTCCAGCATAACTGTTGTATGTTGCATGTAAGCCTTGAAAAATTTTTGTTTTGAACTGTTTGATCCTGCTCATAACCTGTTTCATTTTGCTTAACTTTAATAGTCCCTTTATTTTCCAGCTTGTGAATTTTATGTTAAAGATAGTCTGAGTGTTCATTTGTTCAATTAAAAGGATATTCTAGTTATAGAAGGGAAAGGAATAAGAGGTATTTCTGTTTAATTGAGTGCAAAGCATACATAACTTGTCTTTCTCAGAACAGAAAACTCTAGTTCTTGTGCTTATTTACTCTTTGTAGGGGCTAAACTATGCCAACCTAACTCCACAGGCAACCAGTGGCAGCCATCAACCATTCACCTAACATAGCTTAGATCCTTTGTCTTACATTATTCACTCAACCCACACTTATTTTCCTATTTCAGAGGATCCTCATCTTGCATGGATGTTCAGATGCTTTGACACAGTCGACATTTATGCAGATGATACTTCAATTTTTCTGTGTGCTTATCTGTTGTATATTAACTCTCGTGTGTGTCTGTATAACATGTGATGCTCATATATAACTGTGACTTTTGACCTCTTCATGCTGGCAAAATCACCAGGGATCAGTGGAAGAGGATCCTTTAACGCTCCTCCAGGCATCTCATGCTGCAGCTAAGCAATCCCAGGTGTGGCCTGCACTGTGCCTGAGTGTTATTAAACCACCAGCTCGCCCCATCATCACCCTGCACTGTGGAGTGTTGTGCTTTGTCCCTTTGCTTGCACAGTGAAGTGTGTCTTGTTCACGTTTTCCATTCAAAATTTTGTGAAGTATGTTGTCAGTAGTTATGACTTCATTCATGGGCTCACATTTATAAAATCGTGCTTTTCACATATTTATAAAATGTGTTTAATTTGTTTACATGTTTTTCTTTTTATTTTTTTATTGTCTTCATTCCTCACTTTTCTTTCCTGTGTGTTCACTGAACTGAGCTAATTCCTGGCATTTTGATCACCAGGGTCACCATTGAGTCCCCCCTCACCCACCGCTGAGGCTTGTTATATTGACATGTGTCTGTTTTGAAGTTTCTTCCATACAAACATAAACATTCACATACCCACACACCACCCTGGAGGAGCATGGAGTGCTCAATGAACTGCATGGTTTTCATTTTGACAAGTTTTTCCTTTTAAACTCCTGAGCATGTGCTGGTATCACACGGGAAACACTGGTGGTTTCAGACCAACCCTGTGGAACACCATTTGATTCTAATCATTTTCTTGTCCTTGCTGTCCAGTAATTTTAATCTTTGTCCTTTCAGGTGAAGACAGAAGAGCAGATTGCAGCAGAGCAGGCCTGGTATGGATCTGAGAAAGTCTGGCTTGTCCACAAAGATGGCTTCTCCCTGGGTGAGATGAGATCATTATTATTATTGTTATTTTTTTTTTATACACATGTAGCTACATCTCTTATATCCTTATATTCTCCTTTCAAATCTCAACATTTTGGATCACCCTGTTTTTTTTTGGCCTTCCAAAGTAGTAACTGGTAAAAAAAGAAGGTTTTGTTATTATTATTATTATTATTTTTTTTTAACAAATCCCAGTTCAAATATCCTTGTTGCTATGAATATGTGTCACAGTAAAGATAATGCGATTATAATGAATATATGAATCTGGATATGCTGAAGCCTATCTCAGTCAACTCAAGGTGAAGGCAGGGGACACCCTGGACAGGTCGCCAGTCTATCACAGGGCTACACTTAGAGACAGACAACCAAGCACACTCACGTTCACACCTACAGACGTTTAGAATCACCAGTTAACCTCAACATGTTTTTGGACTGTGGGAGGAAGCCAGAGAACCCAGGGAGAACCCACACTGCATGGGGAGAACATGCAAACACTATGCAGAAAGATCCTGGGTTTCCGAATGCGAACTGGGGATCTTCTAACTGCGAGGCAACGGTGCTAACCACCGAGCCACCTTGCAGCTTCTGTAATCGTGTAATTTATTTTAGTAATTAGTTATTTAGCTCATCCTCCCAGCTCTCTCTGTAACATGTGACTGCTGTAAATATTTGTAAATTCAATATTAATCCAGCTGTCATCAAATATTACCATTACACAGTTCAAATTACTCTTAAATATAGTTTATTAATCAAATAAACAGATCAACTAGAATAACTGCCTCATGGTTGTATGTCCCCACCAAGTTGCACTTTATACCCATGTGTGTCCAGACTTGATCTTGTATCTTGATCCGATTTTACATACAAAATATCACCACTTCATCATTTTATCCTTTAGGCATTTGCACATTTTGTTATAATTAGTGTATGATTTCTTGAGTTGTGGTTATAAATTAGCTTTGTGTGGTCAGAATGATGTTTGACTTGACTACCGAAATCTATCCAGTTTGTCTTTTTTCAGATTTGGCCTGCAGTCCTGTATGCGATTTTATAACTCTCACTAGGTGGCAGGCATGGCTAAGTTACTGACTATACATAGGCACACTGGCCGGAATAACGACAGAGGGGCAGCAGAGACCTCAGTGCTGCTGAGTATGATGTGCAGCACAGAAACATCACTTCTCTCCATAAATATGAATTAATGCAGCTTTAACACACGGGCATGAAATAGATTTTTCCTTATCTTACTATTCAAAAGCTTAACTCTCACGATTTGAAAAGCTATGCGTTGGGAAGTTGTAGTCCAATGTTTCCATAGGTCTGTTTTTTGTCTGTTTTTGGGAATTATTTTAGAACACTTTAAACCTCTAAGTAGTAGTTAGTATTTTTAGTGTTTTCGTAGCATACTGTGCAGTGCAGCTGTTCGACAGAAGAGTTGATCTAATTCATATATTACTCTGCCATGTTTCTAAAACTTTTCATTGTAGCAGCAGCCCTGAAATTTTTTTCAGTTCTCGATGCAAGTGGTTGGAAGTTATCAGATGATTTTCATGTCAGTGGAGTGAAAAAGTTGAGTTGTGGTAGTCTGTAGTTTCAAACATGAACATCAGATTTCTGTTTGTTTTTTTCCTTGAAATTAGCCAGTTAAGGTACGTAGATGAGTATGAGGTCTAACAGACTAACAGATAGAAGTGCTTTCTGTCTTTTCTCTTGCCAGCCACCGTGGTGAAGACAGAGCCTGGCTCCCTGCCAGAGGGCAAGTTAAAGATCAAACTGGAGCGTGATGGGACATTACTGGATGTGGACGAAGACGATGTAGAAAAGGTGAGTTGGACATGGCTACAAATGGTTAATAGTAGTGCATGAGAAGGGATCTGTACCAATTCAGCTGCTCCTGTATAAACTGTTGGTTAAAATAAGATGTCTCTAAATATATATTGTATTGACATCAGTTTTTTTTTAAATTTTAGAATCACTTCTGAGCATTATGAATAATGTTGTGAATATTATCAGATATTTTCATTTCAGTTGAGGAAAATTTCTGTTGGAGATCATAGCATTCCACATCTTTTCACAGTATTTCAGTGCATCACAGTGTTTCATAATATTTCAGTGTCGTAAGTATGAACATGTAGTTATGTATATAATCTGTTTGATCCTGTAGAAGTTATTTTGTATGTTTCTGAACAGAAATTTAGCTGAAGACTCATCATTTTTCTTGTCATATTCGACATATTTATATCTGACTTTGATGAATTATTCCTCAGTGAAGTCAGATTTGATAAAGTAGGTCTTCTCTCTACCGGTCATTCAGTCCACCTGAGAGAGGCTCAGAGATAGCCAGGCTGTCACAGATGGCCACAGAGGATACTGACAGCCTCAGGAATAATGGGATAGGTGCAGAAGAGGTCAGATGACAGTTGGGAAATCTATGCCTGCTGCCAACAGTTAAAATTTACTTACGTGGCCACATTTTAAAATTAAGTTAAGATGTATGTTGAAGTTTAAGATGCAGTCAATGCAACAAGACAACTTTGTTATCATGTTATTTCCAAAATTCTAACAGCAAGACCAGAGTTAAACAGTGACAGTTATTTGGCTGATGATTGGTCAATCCAGAAATCTTTAGACTTGATATTGGTGTACAACTGGCACATAAAGGAACGATAAGAGTCACTGGGGTTTTCCCAGGCTCTCAGCATTGCTGATGCCCCTGAACTTCAAATGCTTGAACTCAGACATAGTTCTGTCCAAGGATCATTTTACAGTTCCACTGGACCTTAGACCAGCTTCAGTTTCAACTGACAGTCCAAGGAATGTCCCCGCTCAGGTTGAACTTTCTGTATGTGGTAAACTGTCTTTCTGTTGCCAGTTTAATGCCTTCTAGGGCCACAACTAAAGACTGTTTTTTATTTTTGAAGGATTATTTTCCCCATTTTTTGTTTGGTCTATAATAGGCATGCAACGAATATTCGATGTACTCCACTAAAATTGATGACCAAATCAGTTGGCAAGGTCATCATCATGTTTGTTTATCCACTGACTCAGGATGCTCTGACATGAAGGCATCACAACTTTCTGCATGATGTGATTGTAAAAGCATGGACCACCTTCGCACAGTGGGAGGACATATGGACCAAATTTATTGCTGATCTCAGCGCAGGACAACTGCAGAAAAAAAAAGATGAATCAGAATTATAACCATGGCTTGTGCCAGTGTAATGAAATCCCCACAGCCTGCCAGGCTTAAGCATAGAGGAAGAACTCTATAGAGTATAGAACTATATATAGATTGGGACAATATAGCTGGAAAAATATATGGTTAGAAAGCTCATTAACAACATCCAGCATTCACGGCTTTAAAAAATGGCTTTAATAAGGTTAAAAAGAAAAGTTGCCAATTTCATTTTTTTCGACTAATGGACCAAGTGTTTCAGTTTAAGTGCCATCGTTGTGATCTTTCTCTCCATGTGCAGGCCAACCCTCCATCATATGACCGATCAGAGGACCTGGCTTCACTGCTCTATCTGAATGAATCCAGCGTGATGCACTGCCTGCGCCAGCGCTATGGAGGCAACCTCATCCACTCCTATGCTGGACCCAACATGGTGGTCATCAACCCCCTTAGCACACCCTCCATGTACTCTGAGAAAGTAAGCTGAAGACTGATAAGCAGGGCTGTTATACCACCATACTGTGTGTTGTTATATTTGGGTGGAAAAATCACAAGCAATTTGTGTTTGTAGCTCAAAATTCCAAACTGAGCTAATGCTTTGAATTTCTACCATGGACTTCTTGTGTAGCTCTCAGCAGATGGGAATATTTCTTGAAAGAACATAAAATGTTATTCAGGCAGTTTCACACTGCTTTCATCTCCACATTTAAATTGTGATGCAAAATTATGCAACTCGTCTAGAATTTCTGGGACAGCTGATAACTTCTATTTGTATGCCTCTCTGCTCTTGTGTTTGTCCTTCTTCTGTGCCCCTCCCCTGCTGTGTGCACTGTCCTGTCTCTTACTCCCCTGTCAGGTGATGCACATGTTCAAAGGCTGTCGGCGCGAGGACACTGCTCCTCATATCTACTCAGTTGCCCAGTCAGCTTACCGCAATCTGCTCACCACCCGGCAAGATCAGTCAGTTGTACTGCTGGGCAAGTCTGGCAGCGGGAAAACCACCAACTGCCAGCACCTGGTCCAGTACTTGGTCTCCATTGCCGGCAGCACGGGCAAAATCTTCTCTGGTGAGCCCCGAGATGGAATAGAGGAATTCTGAGAGAATACCAGAATGGAAAACAATATATAACTTGTTCTTGAACGTAGTATGACCCAGACTTTTTGAAACTGGAAAAAAATCATGCATGGCAATACGGTCACCACGGCAATAGTTTATTCAGTTTATCTGAATCAGTTTATGTAAATGCAAAACTAAAAACACCAGAAGTGTCACTAATATTTCCTAACAAGATGTTTACAGGGCAATTTAGTTCAGTCATTTTACTGTTGTTCTTTTTTTTTTTTTTAGTTATTTATGTATTTTAAGGATCTTGCTGCAGTAAACAACAATGAAATAAAAAAAAATAATTTTAATATATATATATATAGTTTAAAAAAAGGTGTTGCACAGTTCTTAAACAAACAGTACAATCAGCCATACATTACTGTAAGCTAGTTGGAATTATTCAATAAAAAACGATTTATGGAGGCCCTGATATCTAATAACATACTACATGGGTGCAAATACCAACAGCAGTGAGTGCCTGGTTTCAATTCCTTGATGTTTGATTTAAAAACTTCAAAGTATATTTTTCACAGAAAGAGCTGACTGACCAAATCAGCTGCCTCTATGTGAGACCATGTAGTAGTTTGTATTCCAGAAGGTGCTGTCCATTAGTTCAACAAAGTGGCCTAAAGGAGGACGTAGTGTTCCCTGTAGAACCTTAAACAGACAACACAAATCCCTATGCTGTGAAAATCTGTCTAAACAAAAACAAAATCATATTTGTGAATGATATGACAGTGGTGATAATGACAGGTTTTGTTATAATGCACCTGGAGTACATGGAATTTGGTATTCAGTATTTGCTACACAAACCTGCTGCTGTATACAGTCACTAGGTCAGTTTCAGCAGCTACACCTCAGCTAGAACAATGTTTGATTTAATGTGCAGTCACAGCAAAAGTTTGTGTTTTTAGCGTTGTTGTTTTAGCTTTTGATCAGTATAATTATCTACTGCAGGCTTAATAGAATCGTGGCTGTCTCTGATGTACTTCAGAAAACTTAATGTGGTCTACGTCCTGAACCTTTTCTTACCTTTCCCACCACCATCTAACCCATCTCAAATCACAGGTACAAAATGAAAAAGAAGAAAAAAAAAGTTCACACTTAGATTATGAGAGATATTTTTTTTCTTTAAAATCAGTGGGCATTTAGATATTGCCAAAATTCAGTTTCATTCAGGGCTCACTGGAAGGTTTTTTGAAAAGTGCACAAATGAACTTCCATATTTCAGAGTCTTTCAGCATAAACCTTGTCTTCCATTTACTTCTTTTATCCACTAACAATGTTAGAGGGCAGGGTTACAGGTGTGCTTCTAAGCAACATCAGGTGTTGGCATTTAGACTAACAAAACCTGTAAGACTGTCATATTTACTGTCAGGGCAACCACTCCAAGCAATGTGGGACATTTCATATTTGTCATCTGCACAAGTACAAGTAGCTTGTAGACAAACTGCTCAGGTACTTAATGAAAACATTAGAAGGTAGAACAGAGTTGTGGATTTTCAGTAAGACGTTGACAGTTAGTTTGCAAACATTTCACTAACAAATGATGTGACCTTTATTCATTTTTGGTGACACAGCTGAGAAATGGCAGGCGGTCTACACCATCCTGGAGGCTTTTGGCAACAGCTCCACTTCTATGAACACCAACGCTAGCCGCTTCTCCCATGTAGTGTCCCTGGACTTTGACCAGGCCGGGCAGGTGGCCTCTGCTTCCATCCAGGTAACACACATGCACATACCTCTGTCTTGCCACCTCTTTAACTTCAGACATCTGACTAATAAATGATGTGAAGTGCTGTGGTGAATGTGAAGGTGTTTGGATACGCCAGAAGAAAGAAACATAAAAAAAAGAATCATACAACAGCCGCCTACAATAGGACTGGAGTAGTCTCGCATATCCAGACATATCTCCACAGCACTGTGTCAGTGCTGGATAATCGTTTGGCCTCTGCAACAGGGGACAAAAAAGCTCTGTTTGTTTCAACCAATCACAATCTTTTTGGGCGGTGCTAATCCCACAATGCATTGATGGTGCTGCTGCAAAATAGCAGGTAGAATTATTTTGGTGGAACCTTTGCATGCAGGGAGATGAGCACTGCTGTGCTAACTCACTGCCTTATCGCGCAATGCAAATCTTCTGCAAAACTTTGTTTTCAGCATGTAGGTTGTTGCTTGAAGGCTGCAAAGTGAAATTTGAAAATGGTAATATGCAGATAGCAGAAGGAGAGGAGGAAGCCACATGAAATGTGACTTGGAAATAGTCGCCTTATACTCAGATTCGACAATCTATGAATCAGTCTGGGGCTGGGGCGACTCAGTGACTCAAAGATGTCGTCAATGATGACAGTAGTGCTTTGCAAAGATGGCTTAGCCCAGTCAAAGCATGGATTCCTCCAGACAACAGGCTGAAGCTCATGATTACTGAAAGCGTGGTGATTTTAGACAAAGAGCAACAGTGTGGTGCTGTGTAAGCAGTGCAGACTAGAAAGGGCTAATCACACCTTAACTACTGCTGCATGAACTTTGAAGAGAAAGCACCCCAGAGTGCCTTGTTGAGAGTGCAGTGAGAGAAAGCCTCGTCCTGTTATTTTTTTCTTACCACCCAGTGTTCCAAACAGGCACACTTGAATGTAATACACTAATACACGCTGCAACCAACTTAAATGACGGCACTTTGTATAGAAACAGAAATTCATGTTGTCGTCTTCTGCTTAGACGATGCTGCTGGAGAAACTGAGGGTGAGCAGACGACCTGAAGCGGAGTCCACCTTCAATGTCTTTTACTACATGATGGCTGGAGCTGACAGCAGCCTGAGGTAACTCTTCTCGTTTTTCTTTTTTTCAAATAAATACGGCATTTGAGTAGCACAACTGTAAAGTATTTAAATCTATCATTTTATTTAGAAGTTGATGAAAAATTCTATATATATTTGTATTGTGCGATCATAATATCTGTCGGTTTTTTCAATTTTTTTTATTCATTTTGATTTTTAAGTTGATGCCCTCCTCGAAAAATGTTAAAATGATTATTGTTCTGAAGGGATCAGACCAGTTTAAACAAGTCTGCTGTAGTTGTTCACACTGGACAGTCAGTAGATGATCAAATAATCCCGTTGATCTCTCTAAATCTCCTTTATACTTTCGAAGAATTTGATTGCAGAAGCCTGAGTATCATTCAGAGTTTTCATATCATAAATTCACTATGTTCCTTCACTATACACACATTTATTGCATATTTATTCAGGATAAGGGATTCCCTCTTCTGTTGCTTCTGAATCGAGGGGTCTATAGATTGAGGGTGTTCTAATTTGTACAGATTGTAAAGCCACCTGAGAGAAACTTGTGATATGGGGCCATGCAAGTTAAGTCAACTTGACTTCATAGATAATCCTTCTTAATCCTAGAAAAATCTGAACTAACATAAAAATGGTGTAAAATAGAGGCAATACCACATTTGTATGGTCAGATTTCAGGTCAGAGCCACAGCTCACCTCACTCCGATGAGATTTCGTCTTCTGCTGCCCTCTCTGAAGAGTTTAGTCTTCTTTGTATTTCTCTCTCCTGTCACGATTTCATCCAAATTTATATTCTTTTCTGAAATCGGAGTTCACCTTTTGTACAAAATATCATTTTGCTTTACTATGAAAAGCTGTGTTAGGGTAGTGCATGTATTTCACATTAAATTACAACAGAAGAGAATAGAAGTAGTACGCCAGAAAGCAAATACAGTGTGACACGGCTGGGGTGCAGCTGGCAGCCCGGACGTCCTCTGTGTTAACAGAGCCCGTCAAAATGACCTTTGGGCTCTGAAGTCTAAAAAGTCAGTACTTTGATGGAAGCCATGATTGTTGGTCTAGGTGTTGTTTAGTGTGCTCTCAACATTTTAGCAGCACCTTAATTTGTTTGTGTAGAACCTTCAGATTAGTGAGCATCACAATTGCTGTCCAAGATTTTTGAATACATGAATAAATGAGCAAACGAATCAACAGCTTCTTAGACAAACAAAAACACATAGTCTTTGTCTGATAATCAAACACACAGTTGATGATTCCTTAATATTACAACATGTACAACTAAAAACATTTCACTGACACTGAGAAGCTTGCTGATCCCAGTATATTGTTTCTTCTCCAGAACGGAGCTGCACCTGAACCACATAGCTGAGAACAGTGCTTTTGGAATCCTCCCACAGTCTAAGGTATGACCAATAGATGGTACAGTGGAGATCTGTTTTTTGTTTTTTTTTAGGGTTTGATTTATTTTGCTGACCCATCTAAAATATCTATTGATGAAGTATGTGGAAGTAGCTGTTTGTTGTTGCAACATTTCACCTTCACCTCCAGGATCAGTGAAGTTTGATCTGATTTGATCTTTTAAGCCTGAAGACAAGCAGCGAGCCTTGCAGCAGTTCACCAAGCTGCAGGCAGCCATGAAGGTGTTGGGAATCTCTGGTGAAGAGCAGAAGGCCCTCTGGCTTATCCTGGGGGCCATTTACCACTTGGGAGCTGCAGGGGCCACTAAAGGTAGGATGTCCCATCTGGATGACTGCAAATACATCAAATCAGAAGCAGAAGACCACTGTTTCTGTGAACCCAAGGGTTGTTACATGATGAGGATGGAAACATCAGATCTGTGCATGCTTAGAGACACTTCAGAGATTAAAAAAGGCACATTGAGAAAAATTATCCACATCTGCTGAGCAGAGCTCAGGACCAGCTCCTGTTCTCCACATCAGACAATTTTATTGCCTCTGTTGCCGCAAATAAAACCAATGACATTGATTCCTTTCACAAAACTGATCACTAGCACTAATTTTGATGTATCTTTTAAGTGTGTAAGTAAATAATAGTAGATTAACTAATGAAAAGACTAAATAAAAACTGACTAAAGAAATGCATGCCTCTAACAGCATCCATGCATGTCATGCCCTTTGTCTTTTGCTAAAACACATCTATGTTTCCCTGTATTCCTCTATGTTCACTTTAGTTTATATAATGTTAATATAATGTCCATGACTTGTAAAATATGTCATTTTGTTTAATAGCCAAATTGTCAATGCAGGTAGAAGCCATGGAGGTAAATAACAATGACTGACTATGTGTTTAGTGTTCAACAACTGGACATAAAACCCTGCTCAAATAATTCAATACCGCGTCAGCAGTGTGAAATCTAAGTGATAGTTCAGTTGCTGTCATTCAGTTGTTTTCTATTGTTGATTCCAGTTAGTACATTCTGAATTTGGTGGAGGGTAAATGTTCTTATTCTTATGTATGTATCAGAGCAATTGGTTTAACCCCACAACAAAAGTTTCTGTTCCCTGCCGACCATGTATTTATGCCCATCTACTCTTTACTTGGACATTAATGGCTACACGTTCCCTGCTCGCCATCACCAAGGAGTTAAACACAAGTACTTGTTGGACAAGTAAAAAAAACAAAAAACAAATTAGAATTGACTTTCTGCCAACTGCCACTAGGTGTCAGGCTTTACATTTGAATGCATTGTTCCCAGTAGGCAGCATGCTGACTGCAATGGCAAGTAGGAATATGGGTTTTCTCATGAGGTGATTTTACCCCACACTGATGTCTCAGTTGAATGCTTTCAACTTGAAGGGTCAGTCTCTGTGCAGGCCAGTCACAGAGGTACAGCATGAAACTGAGAGAATCATCTATTGAAGAGCTGGTTTTGTGTAAGGGAGCACTATAATGCTGAATCACAAAAGTGCCACAAAGTTGGAATCTCATTATTGTTGGATATTCCATTGTATGATGTAGTGGTTCAAACCAAACATAGTAAAACAAGCCAACATCATAAGTAAACATTAGCAAAATGACAGGGTTGTTCATACACTTCTGGCTAAATTCCCCTAGAGATAAGTAAGAAAATGTTCAGAAGTAATGAACTAGGATGCTTTTGCTGGGTTGTAACACATGATAACAAAAGCAGATTGTGAATACATGTAGTCAGTAGATGCCTCCTAAGTCAAGCAGCAGACCTGTAATTACACTGTGTGATCAGTCTAGTACACTGCTCGTGACTTTAGCCTCAATGTGCCTGTATCAGATAGAGATTTGAAACCCGACAGAGAAAACCCCTAAATAGCCACAGAGTTGCAACTGGTCCTGCACATTGCTGTGATAAAGTGTTTGACTTCCTCTTGATTTATTTGTTTTTTGTTTGTGCCTCATACTAAACTGTGTTAGATCTTCAAACACAGTCTAGCGTAAAACAGAGGCAACCCAATTAAACACAAAATACTAGTTTCAAAATGTAATTGTATTTATTGAAGCAAAGTGGTTATCTAATACCTTAATCACCAATGTAAAAAAGTGTTAAATAGCTTGCTGTGTGACTTTTAGCAGTAGTGGCTGCAGCCAAATGCTTCTGATAACTGGAGATCAGTCCTTCATATTGCTGTCGTGGAACTTTGGCCCACTCTTCTTTGCATTTCATTTTATTACATCTGAGGCGCTCAGCAGTAGACTGTTGTCTTGCTGCATGACCTAACTGTACCAGAACCTAAGTGACCTGACGTTCTCCTTCTGGATTTTCTGTCAGAGCAGAATTCATGTTTTATTGCCAGTTGCCCTAATGCAGCAGAGTATCCCTACAATATTGCACACTGCCACCATGCTTGAGGTTAGACATAATGCTCTGTTTGTGGAACTCCTAGGTTTGGTTTCTCAAACAGTTAAACTTAAACTCATGAGCCCAAAGAACATTCTCCCGAACATTTTAAAGGTCATCAAGGTGTGTTGTGGCATAGCTTTGACAAGCCTTTATGTTCCTTTGGATCAGCAGTGTTTTTGGTCGGTCATTCTTCCTTTGTTGCACCGTGTCTTTTGGAAAGAGGAGTCATAAACACTGACCCATGTTGAGATGAGATAGCTTTTAGTTCATTGGAGGATTTCCTTTGATTGCTTGCAACTTCCTGGATGTGGTTCCATCATGTTCTTGAGGGTTTTTGGTTAGTTGGCCACTCGTAGGAAGAGTCACTACTGTTTTCCCTGTTCCTCTTTTTGTAGTTTGGCACAGTGTGCAACTGGTAAGAACTTTGAGCCAACTGCTTGCCTCTGAGAAGGTTCTATTTAAGTGATGATTTGATTGAACATGGTGAGTAGTCCTTAAACCTGGACATGTTTCGTCTAGATGCAAGAAGTTATTGCTATAGTTTGGCAGTTTTCTGCATTTAGTAACTAGCGGGGTGAATACTTTTTCACACAGGCCCAGTTGATGTTAGATAACCTTTTTGCTTCAGTACACACATCATGTAAAACTTGTATATTGAGTTTACTCAGATTGCCTTTTTTTTTTTAAATACTAGATTTAGTTTTGAAATTTGACACAGCTTAGTGTAAGATACCTACAAAAATGAGAGAAATCAGAAGGGGATTGTTTGAGGCTTTGTTCTAAACTCAGTGAAATTGTTTCCAGCTATCCTTAGCTCTGTTCAACATCTCTTAACAGACAAGCTTTAGACAGCAGATACTCAGTATTCAAGGGTGTCTCCCAGTGAAGAGTTTACCTGAGGTGGTAAGCTCATCCAGATCTGGATGCATCTCCTCACAAAGTCAGTGTAGTTAGTAGATGATGACCATGTAACCACACTAAAGACAATGACTTTTACTGTGCAAAAAGGTGCCCTTTCTTTTATGCCTAATGTTTAATGTTATATGCAATTAAAGTATTCATTTTTTCAATGTGAGGCTGCCCACTTCAGCTTCAAAAGCCTGGTATCCAACAAGAGCTCAACATGAAACTGAGTGCCGGGAAAGTTGACGTACCCAAACAATGATTCCTCACGTGATTTTGCTGATATTTGCTGTGGTTTTGGTTTTGTATCTTTTTAACTTGAATAATCAGCACAACTCATGTATGATTAAATATGTATTTTTTTCTTCAGTGCTTTAACATGACAGCAGTCATAGAACAAAGTATCCTGTAACTAGAAGAGTACAATACTTCTGAGATTTGGAAAGTCTTTGGTCTGCACTGACTGTTACTTTACTTAGAGGACATTCTTTCAGTGGAGTAAATTGGCTTTTCTGGAAAAATCCCCTCAAGTATCCGCGGTAGTCCACAAAGTATCGTTTACCCTCCAGTGGTAGAAAACAGGAGCATGTGGTTCTAACAGTGATGTGTCATACCACTCAGCTACCTTTTCCAAAGCATGATGGTGGGTTGTCAATGTTGTTCACTGCTAATGTTTATGTTTTCCTGTGTCTGTGATGAATTGATGAATCCATAAACTGTGTTATCTCTAACCCCCTCTCTTTACTTGCATGTTTGCATGCTGCGCCCTATCAAATGCAGACGGAGATGAAGGTAATGGAAAAACAACACGCAAGTTGTTGACTGTTTTTCACTTTAAAAACTTTATTTTAGAGCCTCTCTTGTTTGTATTTTCTGTCTTAATGCCTTTATCATTTCTTCCAGGCCTTAAGTCATTAGCATTTTTATTGTTTCTGCTCCTCCTCCCCCTCCTCTCTTCATCTCCTTCTCTCTTGTGTTTTTTTGTTTGCTTCATGGCGGCTCTCCCCGCCACCCTCTTACATTTTTCTGTTCTGTAAGATGAAAATCAGGGGGATCAAAACTTTGTTGTCCCTTTTAACCTGCTCTCTCTGATGCCTCCCCATGTCGCCCACATTCGACTCCCAAACCCCTGTCACGCTACTACGCATTCTCAAGCAATCAAAGTAAAGCTTGTTCAGTTTCACTTCTCTTGTAAGTGTTTTGACTTCCTACCACAGAGCTAGCATTTCCCAGCTTACCCAGTGTATCCCCATGAAGTTTGTGCTTGGCAGGGACTCCTGTTGATTCTCTTGCTTTGTGTCAGAGCTCTTTGATTGGCTGGCTGTCATGTTGCCTTGGTTCATTCTAACACATGGGCTTTGAATTGCCTCCAGACCAAATAGAGATGCACTCTCCATCGAGACCTTCTTGCAAACACAGACTGAGAGTCAAGATACAATCAATAGTGATAGTGGGCTTATTTTCTGTCCTTTCCATTGCATATCTTAGAAAACATCAGCTTAGCTTTATAGAGCTTTTATTATAGATTTTTTGAGTGACTTCAGTGGCACACATGGTGCCTTTTAATGGATGCAGTCTAGGGATGCTTTAGGGAGCTAGGGAAGGATGGAACAGGAAAACAGAGGTCTCAAACAACATAACAGAAGAGGCTATTATGCTAACTTTTAGTACCTATTTTGGATTAACCTCCATAAACTGGACCCTAATCTATGCTCCGTCACATCTTTCAACTCCAACCCCAGTTTGTAACTTAGGCCCTTTTCTTTTACAGCTACCAAAAACTACTCTTACTGACAAAGAACACAAGAATTACTGACTGAAATAGAAAACAGATGTGTCCTGATACAGTAGGAGTAACACAACATATAGATCTGGTAACTTGTCCACGAGTTGCCCTACATAGTACAGCTTCGAAAACGGCTCGCACCGTCTTGTTTCGGAACAATACTGCTGGTATTATACATTATGATGGTAGTAAAAGTGACAAGTTTAACACATCTTGAGATTGGCAGTGACAAAAACTCCAACAAGGAAGCATCCTGCACCCTCAGATGCAACTCAGTAGTATCTTTCATTAGACCTTCTCCTTTCTGGTAAACACCCATTTTTCAAAGTCACTCACTGAAAGTGAAATTTTGTCTTAGCAAGTGCCACTTTCAAGGCTTGTATTCACATTAATATGCAGAATAACTGAAACGGCTGCTGTTGAAGTACAGTGGCTGTCGTCTTCAAACAGTGATGCAGTTAGAATCTTAATGTAGGAGTCATTTCCCACAGCAGTGTGAGAATTAAACCCATGTTCTTTTCCTCCCAAGCATTTGTAGTGCTCTCCTCTATATATGGATACTGATGTGATGCCATCTTGGTATACAGCACAAACACACAAAATCAGGACTGTTTAAATAGCTACAAAAGAGATAATTGCTTGACTGATTGAGAACCTCAAACTTAAGCATAAATTTGGACACCTTACTTTTTATGTTTCACAACTCTCACTGTTATCCAGGCAGAATATATTTGGTTCTTGTCAGTGGCAGAATATCAAGAGGATTGTTCTTTGGTGTCCAGAACTTTCATTATAAGTGCTTCTCTTGGTTCAAGGCTAAGACTATGGCTGACACTGTATTCATACTTTTATAGTTACAGTGTTTTGGGTTCATGTCAGTTATACTGGAGCTCAGAAAAAGCAAAGGCACTCTCCACAAGGACAGAAACTACACATACGGTTTCTGATGTAAATAAATTACTATCCTCCTCCCCTTTACCTTTAATGTACGTTATCTTCATTATGTGTCTTCCTTCGGCTCCTACTGAGTTGTACAATTTCCTCACACTCTTACTCTTTTAATAGCTGGACGTCGGCAGTTTGCCCGTCATGAATGGGCCCAGAAGGCAGCCTACCTTTTGGGCTGTACCTTGGAGGAGCTGTCCTCTTCAATCTTTAAACATCACGCCAAAGGCCTGCAGCACTCTACCTCATTTCGAGGAGGACCGGATGAGGCGGGCCAGGGAGAAAGCTCAGGTAAGAGCTCAAACTCCATAGTCTTGAACCTACGTTTATGTTGGCATTAAGCTAAAATCCTTTGCCTAGCCCTTATATGATGGACAGTTTAGAGAAGTGCAGTTCAAATGAGATCATATTACTGCACCATTGACAAATACTGATTTACTTACAGGTAAAATAATCTAAAATTATGATCTAAATTAGAAAACGTCCTGTAAAAAACAAACTAAAAAGAATGTGACCAAACCTCTGATTACAACTGTGGGCAACCAAAAGAATTGATATTTAATGTCCAACTTCAAGTGTTTAATCAATTTGTTACTCAATTTTCAAATGTTGTCTCAGTTAAGTTCTTGTCAGGAAAAAATGTATCTTTGTCCTCTCTATTTGTTTGTACGGAATACAAAATGCAATCCCAATTTGGCCGTACTTCCCCTGAAATGATAGATATCAGTTGTATACTGGTGGTAATTTCTCAGCTCTGGCTCTGATCTTTTATCTCCTCTGTCTCTCAGGCTCTAAGGTCACAGCTCTGGAGTGTTTGGAGGCCATGGCATCGGGACTCTACTCTGAGCTCTTCACTCTTGTCATCTCCCTAATCAACAGGTTAAGCCACAATATGTAACTCTGAATATGTCACTGTAATGCAAGATGCAGTCAAAACGTTTAGAGTCTTTTTCTGTTTGCGCATGAATGGAGTGCAGCACAGTCATGTGCAGTCAACAGGTGTCACAGTCATTTCCATACGCTTGTAAAGACCATGCTTATCATGGAAGTCTTGAGTATTCTAGCATTTGGTTAGATGTCCTTTGACCATTTTCACCTCAATTAGGTGCTTCTGGTAGGTTCTAGTTGTATCTACCAATCCTCTTGACAGAATTAATGCAGTTCAACTAAATTTGTTGCCTTTCTGACACAAACTTGTTTCTTCAGCGCAGTCCACAGAATCTTGATGAGATTTAAGTCAGGACTTTGGGGAGACAAGTCTAGTACCTTAATTCTAGCCTGATTTCTGATCTTTACCACTTTTGGTCTGTTTAGGGTCTTGTCTCATTGGAACACCCAACCATGTCCCTTCTGGCTGATGATTTGAGATTTTATTGAGGAATGTGGAGGTAATCCTCCTCCTTCATTATTGGCACCAGTTCCACTGGCAGCAGAATATCCTCAGAGCAGAATACTACCACCTCCATAGTAGTGTAGGTATGGTGTTTGTACAGATAAGGGCCTCACCCTTGAAGCACATGTAGCCAAATCGCTCAGTTTTTGTGTTTATGAATTTTTGACCCGTCAGGTTTTTCATATTTTCAGAAGACCTATAAAGAAATGTGTAAGTGTTTCAATAATTCCATTATAGATAATACAGTTATAGGAGTCATTAGAAACTCAAAACTGCCCTGATAGACATGATCTTTGCAAGTGTTTGTAAACTTTAGTTCACAACTGTATCTTACACATGTCTGCCCAGACATGAGACCAACACATCTCTGAAAAAGTCTCAGGAGAATGTAACAACATTATTGTATTTATGTTATCTGTGCATTTGCATATTGAGCTTTACACACCCTACCTGGATGCTGAATGTCTACCAGATATATTGTATATTTTTACTGTCACACAAGTAAAAATAATCTGTTAACATAACTATGAAATGTTATGGACATACATAAATTGTGTTTTTTCTAAAGAAACCAAGGGGAAAGTATGAGCTTGTCCCATGAACCACTGACATGGTCAGCATGTGGCATACTGGTTTTCTGTAAAACCTTGAAAACATGAAAACAGAGTCTGCTTTTCTCTGTTTTCTGTCATTGTAAATGTTAACCTTTTTGGGGTTTTTGACAGAAAAACACAAGCACCAGACAGCAGTGCATCATCACTAAAGAGTCCTGATATATTTGTGTCCCTCAGGGCTCTGAAGTCCAGTCAGAACTCTCTGTGTTCCCTGCTGATTGTGGACACTCCAGGTTTCCAGAACCCTCGGTTGGCTCAGCAGCAACGGGGAGCCACATTCGAGGAGCTCTGCCACAACTACACCCAAGAGAGGCTGCAGACGCTATTCCATGAACGTACCTTTGTTCAGGAGCTGGAGAGATACAAGGAGGTGCAGCTGGGCTGACAGAGAATGACACTAAGCAGGGGCATGGACATACACATATATACAAGAGCATCTCAAACAAATAGAGTATTGTTAGAAAGAAATATTTTTCACCAGTTACTTAGGAAATGTAATATATTCCAGATTCATTACACGTAAAGTAAAAGATTTCAAGCATTTTCTATTATTATTTTGATAATTATGGCTTATAGCTCAAAACACATTCAAAACTATATCTTAGAATATTAGAATATTTCCTGGAGAAAATTAATATTCTAACAGTATAAACACCATGCATCTCTCAGTCTCATTCAGTACACACAGTCACAATCATGGGGAAGACTGCTGACAGTTGTCCAGAAGATGATCACTGACACTCTCCACAAGGACAGTAGGCCACAGAAGGTTGAAAAGGCTGCCTTTTGGCAGAGTGCTGTATTGAAGTGTATTCATGGAGAGTTGAATGTAAGAGAAAGGTGTGGTAGGAAAATATGCACAAGCAACAGGGATGACTGCAGCCTTGACAGGATTGTCAAGAAAAGTCAACTGAAGAAAGTCAGTAGGTAGAGTTTCATAAGGACTGAGGCTGGTGTCGGTACATCAAGAGCCACCAAGTACAGACGTCTTCAGGAAAGAGGCTACAACTGTCACATTCCGAACATCAAGACACTCCTGAACCAGAGTCAACATCAGAAGCTTTTTGTTTAGCCTAAGGAGAAGAAAACTCGGCTGTTGCTCAGTGGACCAAAGTCCTAAATAAATGCAATTTAAATTTTGCATTTTTTTTTGAAATCAAGGTCCTAGACTCTGAAGAAAGAGTGGAGAGGCACAGTATCCAAGGTGTTAAAGTGTCCTCAGTCTGTGATGATTTGTGGTGTCATGTCATCTGCTGGTGTTGGTCCACTGAGTTTTATCAAGTCCAAAGTCAACGCAGAATCTACCAGGAGATTTTAGAGAACTTCATGCTTTCATCTGTTGACAAGTTTTATGGAGATGCCGATTTCTTTTTCTAGCAGGACTTAGCCCCAGCCCACATACCTACTCCCCATTGAACCCCTATATGGGTTGTTGTTAAAAAGAAGATGAGAAACACCCAACATCAAAATACAGATGAGCTGAAGGCTGCTGTCAAAGCAGCCTGAGCTTCAATAACCACCATGCCATGCTGCAATGATGCAGCAATTTATGGTAAAGGAGATCCCAACCAAGACTGTAGTAAATAAATTAACATACTTTTTAGAAGTATGTAAAAGTATCGTTAATTCTTTTTTTTTTTTTGGATTGATCTTACAAAATATTTAAATAATTTGCTATAATGGATTTCTGATTTTCATGAACTATAATATAAATAAAACAAAAAAAAAGGCTTGAAATCTTTCACTTTACATCAAGATAGTTCTGGTTTCACTTGGTCAGGTTTTAAGATGCCTGCTTGTGCTCCAATGCAGTGGTTTCCAGGGTGAATTTATGCTCACAGCAATGATATATATATATTGAGAGACTCTGATAATCCACAAAACACACTGTATTCAGCAGTTTGCTTGCTGTTGCTGGAAGAAATTGTAATGAAAATCATGGGATTATCCTTGATTTCAAGAGAAATAAGAGAAGTATGACCTGCATAAATACATAAAAACTCCTTTGTGCATATTCACATGTATGGTTTAAAGCTACTGCAGAACACAGATCAATCAACCTTTTCTACCTTTTTACACATTCTTAGATATCCCTGTCCTTTCCAGTTTAATTACTGTACTTGCGTCATATTATTCCATAACAAATTAATTGTGGTACTCTTCAAAATCTGGTAGGAAATATATTTTGAAACTTTGCACTGATTCTAAACAAATGCACAATCACTCAACCCAATCCACAGGCTAATAATTTATTGGTGATCTTCTGCTTGTAAATGTCTGTAGATTACTAACCTAAGCCTTTATCCCCTTCTGTGTCTAGGAAAACATAGAGCTTGCTTTAGATGACATAGAATCCAGTACTTCACTGTCTGTAGCAGCTATTGATCAAGCCTCAACCCAAGCTCTGGTAAGCAAGCTCCCACTACATTGTCTCTGTTTTGCTTCAACCTGAAACATGTCACGAGAAATGTGTGGTCTCCATAATGTTGCATTGTGTTCAGAGAAGCCTCAAGGTATTCAGGTCCAGATTCAAGGGCAGTTAGTTTAGGCCTGAGTTTTAATCTTATTCAGAGAGACTTTAATGCAAATCAGGATGTAGCCAAACAAGCGCTCCAAAATACCACTGAGCCAGCAAATAGCCCATTTCATCACTGCTGGCAAGTGCAAATAGTTGTAGCTGTAAGGCTAATCTAGCAAAGCAGGCATCACTGTGTAGTAAAGCCAGATGATCTGAGATCCAGGAAAAGGAAAGTTCTGCTCTGTGCTTATTTGACTTTGCAGGGTTTTCCTGGCTCAGAATGGGCCTTTGAACGGTGACTACACACAACAGTAAGCAAGATCAGTTTTTATTACTGTAAAGAAAATGGGTCTGTGTTGCCTTATTTGACAAAAATCTATGAATTTGTCTGTTATTTCTGACCATTTGAATTTATTTTGCTTGAATAACCGAATCCCCAACCAAGAAAGCATCCTGAAAATTGAAATACTCCTTTGAATTTCAGCTTTTATTTTTTTGGCACAAGTGATTTTGCTTTGCAGCCGGCCCCCACGTTTTAAAGTACCGGGCCTTTACATTCCTTTAGTACAGGTTCTGTGTTGTTTCAAATTTTTTATTTTTTTTTATTTTGTCTGATTCATATTTCCTTATTTTACAAACATGCATGTGACTCCAAGTGGACTCCGCTGTTATCATTGAACAAAGCACTGGACTATAAATTAGTCCTGTAGTACAAAGGAGTCCCTGGGTTTCAACATGGGCCACATATAGTTACTGTAGTGTGTGTACTATTTGGCTCCTAAACTACAAGTACAAGTTGAAAATTGAAGATAGAATAGAAATAAGTAGAGATAATGCAAAGAACAAATCTGCTTTTGGAGTTTGCATTATAATATCCATAAAGGTACATTTCAAAATCCTTCACTGTGTTGATATTGATTGTAAAACGTGAAGGTATATATGCCAGTATGTCTATCAACTGGAAACAAAATAAGACTTACCCTCTTATTTCAGTATCTGTGTTCCTAACCTTAACAACTGCTTTTGAAACAAAACCACAATTTTAAACATTTTTTTCTACACCAAACCCTAAAATCAGTGGCAACAAATTAGAAAAGCATCATCTAAATTATTTTTATTCCGTAGTATTAACCAAGTAATTTTTCTTCTAACCATATGTACAGAATATATTATTTGAACACATGGCATACTTGTCCTATTAACAATGTTAGACTGCTGTTTGCATGAAGTATGACATGAGTTTAAAAAAGAAAACACAATGGCAGGTGAGCAACATAGTTTGTGACAGGTTATTCCATGTCTTTGTGCAGAATCTTTGTTTTACACAGTTCCATTTGAATAGTTGTTCATTACACCAGTTACTGAGAGCATCTCTGAGTGTCTACACACAGTGTGCGAACTCACTCAGCTCTGATTTTGTGACTTGTTGTGTGATGCACAATGTTACAAGCAGCTTTAAAGTTAGAATATGTGGCTCTGGTTGGCTATATGCCACTTTGTGACCTAAAGTGGCTGAGTTTGAAGGCTGGGGTGATGATTAGAACACTCCTGGTTGAGTCTTCAGTCAAAGAGATGAACAACTGTAAGGGGTCTAATTTGACCATCCTGGGAAACATAGATATGATGTAGAATTCTAGTATTGGTTTTTGTTTGCTTGTTTCATCTTTCTGTTCATTTTCTTTTTGAGGAAAACACAGAATTAAATGTAGCTTTACTGGTCATGTGTGTGTCTCCTATAGATATGCTTAAAAGAGTATGTTTAAAATGAACCAGCATTTTAGTGCAACATTACAGGAAACCAAAGTTTAGTGCAAATACAGTTTTTAAACAATAACTACTAACTAACTACTACTAACTACTTCTACTACTAAGTTATTGACACCTTATGGACATGAGATAGGTTGATGATAGTGCAGCGTTTCTCGGATGTACTGTATCGACATTGGTTTAGGGTTGGAATTCAGAAAGAATTGTTTCTGACTGATTTAAATTTAAATGGGAAGAAACTGTTTTGTGTGGTTACTTTAGCTTCAGCACTATTTAGCGCCTAATAGAGGGGAGGAGTTGGAACAGATGGCGCCCAGAGCGTATCTTTAAAAAAAAAAAAAAAAAAAAATTAAAGTATGTTTTTAGCCGTTTTGCCTTTATAGTATAGGACAGTCGAGAGAGAGAGAGACAGGAAAGTGGGGGAGAAGAATAGGGGAAGGACTTGAAGCAAAAGGCCATGAGCGGGATTCAAACCCATGACCCTGGCGTTGGGGACTATAGCCCCTGAACATGAGCGTATCTTTTAAAGTGTGAACGTTTTGCTAGATATTTGGCTTGTCAGTACCTGCCAACTGTCTCATGATCTGAAGGGATGAATAAAGATGTTTATACAAATCTTGCCTTGACTTGAGAGTTTTTCCATCAAGGTCAAAGATGAGTGATTGTGACATTTGTGACTGCTGGTCTTCATCACAGGTTCGTACCCTGGCCAGGACAGATGAGGCTCGAGGTCTTCTGTGGCTGATGGAGGAGGAGGCTGTTCAGCCTGGAGGTTCAGAGGAAACCATGCTGGAGAGACTCTTCAGCTACTATGGCTCTGCACAGGGAGAAAACAAAGGTGGGCACTCAACCATCACTGCCTGCTAAAGCAAACAGAGGGCTCCTGGAGGTTTAGGAAACTAACAACGCTGATGATAATCCTGAGGGGGAAATATTTCCTTTGTGTTGCAGGAGCTGGTCTGCTGCTCCGAGGTGAGAAGCCCCACCTCTTTCTTCTGGGCCACAGCCATGGGACAGACTGGGTGGAATACAACACTCAGGGCTGGCTGAGCCATGCCAAGCACAACCCTGCTGCCCAGAATGCTGCCACACTGCTGCAGGACTCCCAAAAGTATGACCACACACATACGACAGCCATTTTTTTTTTTTGCAACCTATTCTGTGCGATGAGCAACATGCTGCTGCCTTTTTTACATGTTACACAACCATGTGACTGACCGCTACCAGTAGTGCATAAATTAACCAATTGTTAATGTAGCTCCTTATTTGTAAAGAGTAAAACAACACTCTTTATGAGGACTAATACTGAATCCCTTTGTAAGAGGTAGCATTTACACAAACTTTAATACCCAGAGTAATGAAGTTGTTTGTGAATGGAAACAGTTAGCTGTAGAGGATTACAAGAGTTGTCCAACCAAGTGTTCCTCCCCTTGACACTGTATCAGTGTTTATTCAAAGATCAATTTAGTTTGCACAAAGGCTTAATTAACAACATACTGCAAATTATACTTTGCTAAGGGAATTTTATGTGAGGGTGTAAAACGTTATCTTAGAATATAAATTGTGTTTATCACCTGAGCTTCAGTCCCTTTAAGTTTGTCCCTCCACCTCTCTGAAAAGCGCTACCTTCTCAGGTTTTTGTTTTTCAAAAGCATTCTATCTGTTTGTCTGATGTAAATATTATTCAGTAATTCAAAAAAAGCAAACACTATAGCCCTTTTCAGACATGCACCCTATTCTGTTTATCTGACTGCAACTGAACTTGTTGGCTTTACGTCTGGAAGGTCCATTTCACTTTCACATCTTGCTAACAGTCGTACTAGGCTGGACCTTGTAACATTTCTGTATCACTTTCAAGAGGACCCAAGTCTGATTTGCACCATCACATTAAAGGATTGGCATGCACGAGCAACAGTATTTCAAATCGGGGCAACTGATTTAGGAAAGGCTTTTTTCTACATTTCAGCACCAGAATTTGTTCAACATCACAGATAGCAAATGACGCAATTGATGCACCAAAATCAAATCACACCATGTTCACTCACTTTGCTATACAATTTTAAATGTATTGGGCTACAAAAATGAAATGTCCATAAAAATAGAACTTTAATGTGGACAGACAAACAACTTAGATTAATGATACCCACATAGTTTAAGTGGTTTTTGTTGTTTTTGTTTTTCCCCCCCACAAGATGTTAACAGGAGCTGAAGTTTAGAAGTTTAGTGCTTCTGTATATTTCAGAGCATTTCCTGTGAGTCCATTAAATCAATTAACATCAGACAGCAGCAGGATCCATGAGTGTCTTTAAAGAGAGATAGTTGTGCACATTTACACAACTTCTCATATTTATAAATGATCCTTAAAAGAGAATATGAGCAGATCAGTCTGGGCCAGATGATAGTTCACACTGTGTAGGCCTACTTGTATTCAGATCAGACAGGTGAGATGTCACACACAGAACCGCAGCTTAGTTTGTTGCTTCCAGCTGTTTAGGACTATTTCCTCTGGGTTTAATAAATACCTGCATCATCAGACAACATCAGAGATCCACAAGTGTCTTCAAAGAGAGAGTTGCACACATTTATGCATGCAGCAACAGCAGTAACTTCGTTTAGTCTAGTCTCGTGTGAATGACACATATCGTGTGCGTTCTGCGGCTCTCTCTGGCACTGTCGGGGGTATCTCTTCATGAAGCTCTAAGAAACATTAATGGAAAAGCAATGTTTGTCTGAATGACAGAATGTTGTCACTTTAACGGCTTGATAAAGCCAGTGGTGTCCCATATCCCTGGTATATTAAAATGTCATATAATTTGTCAGAAAGGAGTACAGCTATCACATATACTACTAGTATAATCTAATGACTTTAAAGTAAGCTTGCTGCCAGTCACTGCACAATTCTACACTACATGAAATGTGTGTAATATATGTGGTATTACTTAAATAAATATTTTTCTAGCTAGTCCTCTGCAAATTCATAAAAACTCTCTTTGGAAAATGAGATCTAATTCGGTGTGATCTAGCTTAAGCCAAATAAATTATTTGCTATGAAAAGCAAGAAATACAGCTTTAAATAACTGGTAACTCAGTAACTACTCAAAATCTATTTCACATTTCCAAGGTTTAGAAAAGTGTCAGTTTGAGAGCAGCAGGCAACACAGTAAGCCAAATGAAAGGGGAGGCAACCTGCCTCCATGTGGGCCGTATTTAACCATAACAGTTGAATATGCTTCTAATGCAATCAGATTAGCTACCTGTATATTGTAGCATCAGTCTTTGGTTGATGTGAAGCCACACAAATGCCATCCATCCCTCTGCCACCACAGGAAGAACATCAGTGGGCTGTTTATGGGCCGGGCCAGCGGGGCCACAGTGTTGTCGGGCTCCATCGCCGGTCTGGAGGGCAGCTCTCAGCTCGCCCTGCGGCGAGCCACCAGCATGAGAAAGACCTTCACCACAGGCATGGCTGCTGTCAAAAAGAAGAGTCTGTGTATCCAGGTCAAACTCCAAGTGGTAAGTGGCGGAGATGGTGGTTCAGATTTAAGAGTAGATTTTGATTTCCTGACAGTTTACAATAGTTCGACCAGTCTCCATTTTTTTCTCAGTTTGTTGCTGACATTTTGAAAATCAGCCTAGTTCACAACTGAATTTCTGCACCTGAACAATTGTCTGGGTGAGGGTTTTGGGATTTTGCAAGCAGGGTATTCAAAGTGGCTAATCACAATAAGAACAGTTTACTTATTATTTTAAAGATTTGGATGGAATGGAATCAGTTTAAGAGGAAAAAACCCTTGATTTTTTTACTTTCATAGAAATAACTGTTCACGTCCTTGTCTCGTGAAAGTATGTAAAATAACGTGTAGTGCACCCACAAAGATGTTACATATATTTTGCCTAAATATGCCTCCTCACAACGTGGGCATGTGCAAACTGCATTGACTGAAATCGCCCTCATCCTTTTTTTGGTTTTACAATATTTGTTAGGGCAGGATCAACTTACTGTTGTGTTTTTTATTAGTACACAGAGCCTAGTTTCAGATAATTGAAAGCATTGCTCCACCTGACTTACACAAGTTGATGTCTAATCTGTCAGAGTAACAGAAAACACTTGTGTGGGTGTGCAGAGCCTTTAACAAAATTTTGGAGTTGCTTCATGCAGCTACTGCAGGCTGCAGCATATCACTGACAGACTCCCACAATGTGAAGAGAATGTTAGATAGTTTTACAAAAAGGTACATGGTGGTGTTGCAGTGACTATTTTGCAAGCAACAGCTGATATGAATCACTTCCTTTCTCTTTTTAGGATGCTCTGATAGACATGGTGCGTCGTTCAAAGGTTCACTTTGTTCACTGCCTGCTGCCCAAAGCAGAGGCGGTGGGAGGAGGTGATCTCCGTGTGACGCATGGAGAGAGCCCTGACTCGGGCCTAATGACTTTGGACGTGGGCCTTCTGAGAGCTCAGCTCCGGGGATCCAAGCTGCTGGATGCTCTGCGCATCTACAGGCAAGGTATTGAAGTAATTCTAAAAACCTTGATGGGAACTTTTTTTTTCTGTTTAATTTGCATGGATTCTAACACGTTGTTGGGTGCAAGATGAGATTTAGGAGCTTGATCCATAGTGGGGCCGGTGTTTGGAGAAACTGAATTACTTCAAATTTATTTTCATTCTACCGATAGAACAGAGTGTTCAAAGTAGCCGTACCTTAATTGAATGCATTACTCATGATCTGTAAGTCCTGCAAAGCTCCGTACTTGGCTCAATTTTCTTCTGTGTGTGTCTACCACCCATTGGCCATATTATAGAAGTGATTTCAACACCTAATTGTGTCGTTGTTACTTTGCTGACACTGGTATGTTACATTTAATCCTAAAAGCCTTAATCGGCTGCGCTGCTGCCTTGCTATTATCAAAGCTTGGCTGTGTTTTTTTTTTTTTTTGTCCTTCCAGAATAATTACGATTACATTTAAGATACTTCTTCCCTTCTTAAATCAAAGCCAGCTATCTCAGCACAAATTTAGCGGTTGTTTTTGGCTACCCTAACTATAGACAACCTATTAACAGTCATGGTAACTCTTGCTATTTTCACATCCAAAATTCAAATGTATTCTTAGAGCACAAATTCTCCACTCCACCACTACCACTTGCAAACCATTATTTACTCGTCTCAGTGATGCAACTGTTGATGCAGCATGCAGGAGCAAGTTGTCTGACAAAAACTGAAGACATACATGTTCCATGTCCATTACATTGGCTTACAGTATATTTTTTATCTTTCAACACAGAAAGTTATCATGTGGTTGCTCTGGTTATGAAAAGTGCAATCAAAATAAAAGTTACTGGCTTACTAGGTGCTAAATGTCAGGATATTCTGCTTGCCTTTGCTCCGATTTTGACTATTGATGCCCCACCTAAATGAACATACAGGAGTAGACCTCAGTCTAACTGATGTGATGTGAAGTTAGTGACTTTAGTGGAAGTTTATGACGTTAGTAGGATGGAAGAAACTCAGTTCCACAAAAGTCAATTGTGGACACATGATGAATATTGGGAGCACATTCTTTTATTCACAGCCGACCAAGATACGTTTGTTCAGCTCAGATGCACACTACACTACGACTAGCAACACAACCCATCTAACAAACAGAAGGCGGAACAAAATAGTCTCTAAAGAATGACAGAACATATTAATGAATCTCACTTTTGTTGCAGTGAGGTCCTACTGTAGGTCCTGTATTTTTAATGTAGTAATTAACCGTTAGTTTTAAAGTCATTTGACATTTACATAGTATTCCTCAGGATTGTACTAACTTCAGTAGAATACTGTATATGTAAGATAAAGACGTGATAGTTTTCCATTATAATGTTATAATAGTTTTCTGCTTTAAGTTGAACCTGCTTTCAAACTCTTCCATGACTTTTCATGTCTGAGTCATTTGACCTTTGTGATGAATTTTACCTCCAGAGACAGAGAATCTTAAATATTCTTCCACTGCTGTTACTTCTCAAAAGGACCAATTATTCTCTAATGTCTTCATTCAAAGGTGTATGCTAATAATTACTTTAGCCCTTTGTCCTAAAGTAAAACTGTCTTCACATAGGCATCACTGCTGTTCATGCCCCTCTAAAGGCTTGTGAGATCTCTCTAACCTTGTACTTTTCCATCTGTCATCTTCACAACATTGTCCTTTTGCTGTTTTTTCTGGTTGTGCTTGTCCTGAAAATCAAAGTTGACTGTTGACACACTGCTGACTCTCCACTCGCTGCAGACGCTCCTTTAACCTTGGTGTTCTGTGTATCTGTGCTCTCATCTCTGCTCTGCTCCCTACCTGCCTCCAGGATACCCAGACCACATGGTGTTCTCTGAGTTCCGCAGGCGCTTTGATGTCCTGGCACCTCATCTGACCAAGAAGCATGGCCGCCACTACATTGTCACAGATGAGAAGAGGGTGAGTTTCTGGCAGGGTTAGCTGATAATGCTGGTGTGAGTAGCTGGACAGTGACTGCTGACATGATGGAAAATACTCACTGTCCAACTTCTATGGAATCCCTTCATTAAGGATTAACGCTGCTGTAGGAAGAAATCAGAAAAATCTAAAAAAAAAAAACAAAAACAGAAACAACAACATCAACAAACTGGCAGAATGTGAAGATATACAGGTCTACTCTTGCAGCTTTTCACTCTCCCCTCTCTGTTTCAAGCCTCTTTCATCAGACCAGAATCATTACAAACCACAGTCAGGCTTCAAATCAACCTTCCGTTGTGACTTCAAGTGGGACTCACACCTTGTTTTCCCAAGTGAAAGTACTCTAACACATTGCACCTCCACATCCTGTTCTCACTGCTGATGTTATTGCTGTTTATACTATCTCATCTGACGTGTAAAAAGCCCTGTGATTGGTTCAAATTTCCCATAATGGGCGAGGTATTCTAAAGCCCAAAAAATGGAGCCAGAAGGATGAGCTGATTTAATTTTGCTATCGGATCACTTGAATTGCAACATGCTGAATGATTAGTATGGAGTCTTTGCACACTGGTGCCAAAACCTGCTGTGTACCTTAGCTCTGTTTATATTATACAGGATTTTTAACATCTGTAAATCCCATGAAAAAAATAAAACCCGGGCGCCCGTATAGCTCACCTGGTTGAGCGGGCGACCCATGAACAGGGGCTACAGTCCCCGACGCAGCGGTTGTGAGTTCGAATCCCGCTCACGACCCTTTGCTGCAGGTCTCTCCCTCACTCTTCTCCCCCCTTTCCTGTCTCTCTCCACTGCTCTACATAAAGGCAAAAGCCCAAAAAAATATATTAAAAAAAAAAATATATAAATAAAACCCACGTGTTAGTTTGTGGTGTGAGCCCTAAACCCTTTTGGTTCCTCCTGAAAGCAGCTTGTCAATAAAACTTTTAACAAACTAAACTCAAACAAACGGAAATTTTATGAGGACTATTTTAAGTGGATGATTGATCCATGTTGAATTTTCTAGAGAGGCAGCAAGATGGTGTGTGTGGGATTGGGTCAAACTAAAATACAGTTTGTCTGTATTAATAGGAATGAAGGATACATCTGGCTTTAGACACACATTATTTCTTAGTGAAATAAATATAGTGTTTGTGTGACTTAGCATGTGAGGTAAAGCTAACTGATAATTTTGATTAAATATCAAGTTTCAAGCTTAGATTTGGATTCCCTGGTGGATCTGTACGTCCCAAGTGAGTAGCTCAAGGACCGTTGGAAAAAACACAACGATTTCTCTCGTTCTTACAATTTTTCTAAAAAAGAAAACACACCTTTCAAACCTGACATGGCATCAGGCTTAAGGGTTCAGAGGATTAAACATCTGGCTGAGATGCTTTAGGGGTTTTATCAGATTGCACCAGCTGAAAAATAATTTTGATGTGCTGCAGTGTCACAAAAACATACTAATATTCAATACCAATTTGTACTCCATGGGAACAAAATTGTACCAACACAGAGGCATACAATTTTAGATTGCTATTAACAAAACAGTGGGGTTCATTTTTCTATTAAAGAAAACTCTGATATATTTTTAATCAGCACTACTTTATTATTCACCAAAACTATTTATGTGTGTGTGTGTGTCAACTTGTGAAGAAAGAGTGGGAATGTACAGCTGGCATCTGTGTATTCATACACTGGAAAATGAGAACATTTCAGATATTCAGAATCGACGTGTATTAAAAATATAGTTCTTGGCAGCACTAGCATACAGATGTAGAAATAGAGCATACTGTGTTTTTTCTTATGCAATAAGCGATGAGTTAAAAAAACAAACATAAAACACATTCGTTTCCTAATGTACAGTGCTGCCAAAACATTTTTTGCACTAAAAGAAAAGTTAGGTTGTCTTTAAAAATAATGCCATGAGTAATTTTTATTTGCCGGTGATCTTCATGCAAAATGCAGGAAAGAGTTAAAACCTGAACCTGATCAATATTGGATGTGCGCTCTCTTTGCCTTTGAAGCAGTTTCCTTTATTCTCTCTACACCTGCACACACTTTTTCATGCTACTTGGCAGGCAGGTTGTTTAGCATCTTGCTACAGTTCCTCTGTGGATTCAGTCTTCTGTTTCTTCATGTGATCCCAGTTTGACTCCATGATGTTAAGATCAGACTCTGTGGAGGTCATTCCAGCTGGTGGAGGATTGCTTGTTCTCCTTGTTCTGACTCTGCCTGGATGATTGCACTTGTTGTCTTGCCGCAGTGAGTGAATTAGGAATGATCAGATGCCTACCTGATGGTGTTGGTGTTAAGAATCTAAACATCTGAAGTGTGTTTTGAACAGTACCGTACATGTGTACACCATGTACCACAGCAGCCCAGATCCTATAACTTGTACGCATCTTTATCTAACAGTGGTATCGTGTATCTATTTCAACAGCTGACATAAATCTTCAATATTGTGTTCATTGACGTTTTTAAGCTGTGCTTCAGAGGTTTGAAAATCCTTGCCTCACAAAATCCCCAGACAATGCACATAATGATAACTTTGAGATTAATAGTAAAATGTTTTGGAGATCAGAACCTGTTGGCATTAAAGAGGAAGGCCAGCACTATGCTATACATGGCCGTACACAAAGATCCACAAGAATTAAATTCTGTCACCTCTCCAAGCCCATGGAAACAACACTACATGGCTGCTACTGTACATATTTGGCAGTAATGTGTAATATGACCTTTTGTGCATGTAAGGAATGACATCTTCCAAGTGGACTCCCACAGACTAAAAGAGTACATTAGCAACAGCTTTGGGTCCGTGGGTGTCCACAGCTGTCCATGTATGCATCTACACCAGAGTATAATCGAGCCTAAGCACTGTGGTCATTTTTTTTTTCTGCTAACAAGCTTGTTATGCAGCAATACATCAACTCAATTTCTCTGGGGCTGAGCATTGGAGAAAATTATTTTTCTACAAAGTTATGCGGTGACTATAATGAGTTATATGACTTTTTGTCACTTTCTGCAGGCACTACTTTGTTTAAGAGTATGTTAATGATTTTACAGTGTTAGCAGAGGTTTTTGGAAAGAATGAGATATTGCACAACTCTTACACCATCAATTACACAGAAACAATTAGTGAAATGATGCTGTAAAAATAGTGTATAACTAATATTTCCTACTTAAAATGATGCCTTCACAGACCACAGTGTGAAAACTGTAGACACTTAGTGATCATTATTATTTATTTACCACTATGTAATTTGAATAGGGGAGTCAACCAATACAGCTTTTCCAAGGTCCAGTACATCTAGAAATATATATATATATGTAATGTATATGGACATACTGTGTGTTCACCACAGGAACCTGTTGTTAATAGTAGTAGTTCTAGTATCTTTTTGAGGAAGATGAAGAATGTACTATAAACTCATAAAGAAAACAGGCACACTGCTTTGTGACTCTGTAGGAGCTTTCTCCTACAAGACAAAAACACCCCATGATGTCACCAGCTTCATCACGCTACAGGTTTAGTACAGAAAGCACGTGTTGCACGCGGGAGGTGATGTGTTTGAAAGATGAGAATGTTTACCAGGCAGGGAGGGTCTAATGAAGGTGTGCTGTTGAGCTGCACGAGGGGAAATGTAGGATCCAGTGTTTTTGGAGCTCGATCCATACCATCGAGCAACAACCAGGGTGTCTCTGTTTTAAACTGATCATTCTTTTTCTTTTAAGTCCTCAGACTTTACGAAAGTACAATATTAAATCACTGGAGTAAAAAATCCTAGCCAAAAACATGATGGAATGTTAAAAGAGTAAAGTTTGGAGATTCGATATCTTTCTTCTTGCCCTCCACATTCTAATCTCCCGGTGTGAACAGGATCCCTTTATTCCTCCTCTTCTCCCGCTCTCCCCTCTCCGCTGTCCTCTTCCTGCTCCAAGAGCACTCTTGTGTGTAATTAATTATGATTGCGCGGGCTGGCAGCATACGGCTACTGTACTGATTAATTACCGGCGGTAGGAAGAGCTCTTTCTTCCCTCCTCTCTCTCCCTCTCCCCTCCCATTCCCTTGTCTCTTTCCACTTTTTTTTGTGTCTCATTATCTTTCCATTTCTTTTGTATAGGAGGCAGAACAGTTTAGGAACATCCCTGAGCATATGATTAATGTCTTCACTGCATTCTGTTCAGGCAGTATATAGCAGTTTTACACAAAGCCGTGATTAGTCTTTATGAGTGGGAGGTGGGGCTGGAAGTAAAATATTTCTACATTCAGACCTTCTGTACCTGTTATGCTAAGGTTGATCTAAAATGTAAAATGAGTCTAAAAAAGTTGAAAAAGACCTGGTTAGCCAAATACCTGTTTTTTGTGCATGTCAGTTAAGTATAGAAAGGAACATTTAAATTAAAGGCCACGTTAACAGAGAAGATTTAACTGGATTGATTAAGCAGATGAATGAAATCAAGCGCTCCTCCTTGCACCACATGACAACACACTGGCAGTAAAGTGAGTCACAAGGTTCATTGGAGATGAGCTGAGAGAGGATAGCCCACTCAGAAAGAAGTAATGGTGCCCAGTCCTCTGGGGAGTTGAGAATGAACGGCGGAAAAGAAAGAAAGCAAGGAAGATGGATGAAAGGAAGTGGTGTGAAGCATTGAAGAGCGTATAATTGGAGGAATAATATGAAAGATTGGTTTTAAGGGAAGGAGAAAGCAACAGAAAAGGTTTAACTGAATTTTTTTCCCCCTAACGGTAAACCCTGTTTTCCTGCCGCTGACAGCCCAGTTCTGTCAGTTCTTGTTTATACGTCATGATGCAGCCATGTCGTCAGTAGCCAGATGCTGTGCCTTCCAAAGTGTTTTTTAGACCAAACAGGCAAACAGAAGAAGGAAAGTCTATCATATCATACAATGATCAGTTCAGTGCCCCATCCCTTAAACCTGACATGAAGTTCTGTGTATATTGAAACCAATCCACGAGGTACCAATAATTTTATGATCTACCCAAGTCAGAGAGGATTGAGTTCATGCGGGACCCCTCTGTAGACATCAGTGTTTTCTGAGTTGTAGTGGACGCTGCCAGACTTTAGGGTTTCTTTTATTTGAGCATGCATTCCATTGACGAAGCCCAAACACGATGAGGAGGCCAAAATTCAACAGCAATTTTGTGCTTTGTCCGCCCACTGTGCTCAACACACCTTAGGATTTATTGCTGATGTGGTG